CAGAATATGGTTGCAGTGTGTTGGTTCTTGGACATACTGTGTGAAGCCAGAGTGACGAAAGAATCCCAAAAAAGTTTCAGAAGTCTTGTTGAGAGGAGATGTATTGATCCAATCAATTTGTAAGTTAAAATCGCCTAAAAGAATTGTATTTTCATTTTCACTCACAAAATTACATAATAGTTCAATCAGCTTATAGTCGCTTGAAGTAGTACTATTTGGTGGACGGTAGACTGCGATAAAACGCATACAAGTAGGCTGTTGTCGTGAGGTTACATCGATACAAAGGATATTAGACATAGTGCTACTATCAGATACGAATAATTTCACTGGGAGAATCATTTTATTAGGTTGTCAAGAAAATAATGTCGGTTTTTATTTGCTTGCGTTAACAAAGCAAACAGACTCAAACCGACAAAGAGTAAGGGGTACTGTTCGATAGAGCAAAGCAAGCTCTACAAGGTGGCACTCATGTCTTTGCGCCATGCTCGATCCACAAAGAGTTCGAACTCAAAATCTGAAGATTTCCAAATGCCCAAAAAATCGAAAAAAATCAGATCTTCGTCCAAATAATTTCTACGGACCTCCCACTCGCTCACATCAATACTATCGATATCTGATATCCATATGTGCAATTGCTGTATTTTTTCCTTGATTAGAAACTGAGAAAACGAAAATTTCCCTGATTTTCTCAAAGCAATGCTGAGCCGTTTTTGCATATGTAGTTCTATGCTACAAGCCTAGGTAAGCATAACTGTAGGTTTTCAGCCCATTTCGAGCGGTACTTTTCGAGAAATGTCGATTTTAGCACTGAAACTGAAAGGAAAAAATCCGAATTCGTTATTTTTCGAAAACTACCGCTTGGAATGGGCTGAAAATATACAGTTATACTTACCTAGGCTTATAGTATAGAACTACATATGCAAAAACGGCTCAGCATTGCTTCGAGAAAATCAGAGAAATTTTCGTTTTCTCATCTTCTCGTCAAGGAAAGAATACGGCAATCGCACATATGGATATCAGATATCGATAGTATTGATGTGAGCGGGTGGGAGTTCCGTAGAAATTATTTGGACGAAGATCTGATTTTTTTCGATTTTTTGGGAATTTGGAAATCTTCAGATTTTGAGTTCGAATTCTTTGTGGATCGAGCATGGCGCAAAGACATGAGTGCCACCTTGTAGAGCTTGCTTTGCTCTATCGAACAGTACCCCTTACCCTTTGTTGGGTTGAATCTGGTTGCTTTGTTAAAGCAAGCAAATAAAAACCGACATTATTTTCTTGACAACCTAATAGATAGGCAGCAAATACCGCCTCCCTTACGGCTTCGTCTATCTGAACGTAAAACCAAATAAGGCAACTCCCCCACAATTTCGCTATCTTCAATCTTATTCGTTAACCATGTTTCAGTTACAAAAAGTATGTCAGGTTTATTCTCTATCAAAAAGGCTCGAAGGTGATGCAGTTTATTTACAAGACTTCTGGCATTCAACATAGTAATCTTTATTCTATCTCGCATACCATGCTGGATCATTGGTTTCCCGACCTCTTTACGGGTATCTCCGATACTTTGATAACTTGCCCTCTGTATACTACCCACTCCCAATCTGATTTCCCTTTGTTCCTCTCACGTGCTTCCTGCCTTAGGTCATATTCGCGCTTACGTTCCTCCTCTGTCATACTCCTTCGTATGTACACGTTGGAATGACTTGTCTGACGAAGGAGGCGTGCATTTGCCAAAGCTCTCCTCCAATAAAAGGAGGAGGGCATGACAACTTTGATCAAGCGTGAACGCGAATTGTTCGGTTTACCCATCCAGTAAACCTCCGAAGGGACACAGTCGACATCCACAACGTCGAGAATCTCACAAACTTTGTCTTGTAGATAAACTCGACGTTCGGATGGGCGCAGCCCCTCCGGAGGTTCCTGGATTCCACTTATGACCAGGCTTCGAGAACGTTTCTCTGCCTCTAGGACCTCGGAAAATCCAGAAGAAATTTTTTCGGCTAATACAGAAAGCATTTTTTGGATTGTTGGATCCCTATTAAGCTCGGAGATCGATTTGATCAGGTCATGTATTGACATAGCACTGAACTCATTTCCTTGATCTACATTGACACTAATCCGATTCTCCTGTGTTTTCTGAGAGGCGCCGAGTCCTTGGATTTTGTTAGAGCGAGTACGCGCCATGTGATTTTGATAGTTCATTATCAAGAAAAAACTCAGAAATCCAAAAGAGTCAAATTAGTAAGGAAAAGAATAGCGCTACCAATCAAAATCGGCCTCAAGGGGATCCAATCAAACCAAAAAAAGTTCAAAAGGATGCAATATAGACAATTAAATAGAAGCAAAAAGATTTACGTGAGAGAGAGCCGAAGAATGCAACCGCACGTGGCGTCGACACGTTCGTGAATGGCAGTGACATGGACTGTAAGAGGGAAAAGCTAACTGTAGCATGATCACTAGAGAGCCACAACATTTTTTTGTAACCCAATGTTCATCATTACAAAAGTAAAATCAAAGATATTGCGTCTTAGCGTGCCAGAAAACATTTTTTGAGGTAAGCCATGCAAGAGATACATACAGGGTGTCCCAAAAAAGTTTGCCTACTGTTTGATTGTGAATAACTCTCTTGTATTGAAGTGTTTCGAAGCTTTAGGTACCATTTTGTAGAGCGAGGTCAAACTTAGATTTACAGTATGGAGCGAATCATCTATCTCTCTTCGTTACTGTAGGATTACGGTGCGAACTTCGCCAAGTATTTTAGGCCCTTGGAGGCTATATTCTGCCTCGGAACAAGTCCAAACAAGCCAAAAACTCTTATGCTACGGTAGTGGGAATCGCCGATTTCGAATTTGAAGTCCCCATACTACTGTGATGCTTCTTTCCTAAGTTATCCCCGATAAAAACCGATAATCAGATTTAGGTCAGGAAAGCAGCTAAGCGCCAACCAACTCGCTGATGGGACATGTTGTCGAATTTAAATGCTTCTTGATCGTTGTTATCTTGTTAAACGTCTAGATATTTTGTGAGTATGCTTGCAACTACTATCAGGTTCGTATTTGAAAGCCTTACAAGCACTGAGTGAGGAACCCAGGCCGCTGTAGTAAAAGGAGGTTACAATCGTTTTCAATACGTATTGATCTTTTCTACCGTATGCCTTCCAGCCTCAACATGACGTGGATTGGTGAGGCGCCGCATCGCTTCGGGCTTGCGCCACGTTGCTTTTCTCTCCACGCCACGCCAAACGAGCGTCCACTACGTGGCACAAACAGAAACGATGCGGTGCTTCATCAGTGCACTCATTGTTAATGATGGAAGGCATACGGTAGAAAAGACCAATACGTATTGAAAACGATTGTAATTTGCAGTTAACACTAGTTGACTTTTTCGGTCCAGCCCGGGCCATTGTTCACCTGCACTGCGAGCCCCCCCCCCCCCCCTCCCTCATATGTTATAGCTGGCATACTCGGTTTCACACGGAAGTGGGTAGCCAAATCGTCAAGAGGTATACACTCCCCAATGAAATGGCAGGACTTACCTCTCCGCTGTCTTGCGCTTAAACTCCATCCGACCACCTCGCTTTGCCCTGCTTTCCTGCACAGAATACAACGTGCGAGAAAACCTTCCGGAATAGAGGGATCCACTAAGCGACTCAGGTATAGTCACCGCATGATGCCTAACCACCGTGTAAAAATGAGATCTACCGTCCCCGTTCACATGGCTGTGGTGAAATGACTTGATAATGACTGCAAGCCTCCATTTTCTAGGATTCAGTAAACAAATCAATAAATCGATGAAAGAACTCGACGAATTTTTGTGAGAAGTATCCTAAAACCGTCTCCATTGTGAAAAACATCTTTGTGCAAAGTCTCAGCTCAATCGGTTCAGACGTGGGCGTTTCTATAAAGCACATACCCTTCAAACAGACAATTTTTTGGGTTTTATATATACAGAGATTATTAAGTCGGCAAAGTGACGCATCTATGTCACTAGGCAGTCAATGACCAATAAGAGCTTGTGGGCTACTCACTGAGCAAAGCAAGCTCTCCTACACGGTCACCAGCACCGATCCGCGATGCAAGCGTGATTTGGGGCCAAATTCGAAACCTTTGATCACCTCAAAGTTAGATCCTAGCCCAAAATCTTCACATTTCTTACTTGTTTACTCATATAATGGACGCATGCTAATACTCATTTATACACTTGCTGCAGTTTCTCCATGTTAGAGATGGAAAAAAATGATAAGAATGGCGAAGTTTGCCTACAGCAATCCCAAAGATCTCCATAGCTATTTTGTATATTTCGCCGGCAGTGGCTCGGCAAATCCTAAAGGCACCTGTTCCTCGCTTACCTGCGGTAATCCACGGCGCTATTTACGAATAACCTTAGAAAGCTCGAAACTGACAGGAACGAACATTTTGCAAAGCTAATAATTTCAAACATGAACGAGTGGACGCAAACCCGCCATGGCGAAGACGCAGAGTCGTTGCGGAACCCTAATGCTTATAGCATTGCAGCATGCGCGCTCTGACGATGGAAGAGAAATCGCAAGATGGGCGGGGTCGCAGATGGGAGTGTAAGGGAAGATGGAAGCGCTGCCTTTCGCGTTGAATTTCAGGGGGTTAGATGTGGCAGTAAGAAATAGAACTTAGTCTATAGGTTTCATTAGGGAGCCCTACTCTGTGACCTTGTCTTGCCACGGGTCTCATTCTGTCCAGCCAGTGCCTCTAAAAAAATTATGACCGTACAATCAGAACTTTTTTGATGCCCCAGTCCTCGAGACATCGCGCCCAGAATACTGAAAAATGCTGATATGACAACACTTATAGATTTGAGTCAAAAATTACTCACTCCTCAAATGAAAGGCAACTGCAGCGCGACAGCATTTCTTCATCAGCATAGTGAACCACCGCTACTTATCCTATATCATTTGATTTGTGATTGATATAGGAAACTATAAAAGCACAGGGTTTCAGATGCCGTCTCATTTGTTACTAACTCACTAGTACTTACTTGTATTGGCATGTTGTTATGCATTAGACATGCTTGTAATGCTTTCCATAGACTGAAGAGTTATGTTGCTGAATTTGTTCATACAGGTAGTCCTCAACGGGTGTGGAGCAGAGGGATGGCAGAAATGCTCATGAGGTAATTAGTAAGAGGAGTGTGTAGCGATGCTCGCGGCACTCTTTTCAGAAAATATCCGAGTAGACGAGGATCGAAGGACGCGTATTTAGAACTCGATCGTAAAAAGAAACGAGATTTCCGTATCAAAGAGATTGTAGGAGTTTGACAATTTGGGTGTGTTTTCTCGGCGGTAGTACCACTTGCAGGACAAGTTTGCCCTCTTACCTTCTTTTGGCAAAAGCGAAATTGGGGAACAACAATTCAAGATACCCTACCCTAGGTAGGAGAAATGAACTGAGTACACTTCGTTTTAGGGCATTGTTACAGACAAATTGTAGAATATCTGGATAAGTTTGTTATTGGGCAGGATTTAGCAAAACGAACATTAGCTGTCGGAATTTATCAACATTACAAACGACTGGAACATAACACTGAAGTTAAAAACGTAGGTTTTGTTTTCAACTCCTTGATTTGCTTCTCGTCATAACTCCAGAATGGAAGTTGGTGCTCGCTTCTGAAGCTCATGACCGCTAGCGCAGACAGGAACTCAACGAGCTTTCAAGTGGGGTAATTCAAACCAGTGCCTTCTTTCGCAAAGATTCGTATCGATTCTACTGTTCGTACGCCTTCTTTTGCTTGCACAATGATGATTTTGAAACTCATCGCGCAATGCTGAACATTACAAATGAATTTCGAACAACTACTCATTCTTGGAGGCCACCCCCATGTAAGATCTGTAACGTGGAGCAAAAGAACTTCTTTCCAGGAACAAATATGAGCTTGAATCTGTTACCGAATCTATTAGGCTCGTCGCCACACATGATTTAAAACCTCTTGATATTTAGGGACGGTGAATCTATGCGATCGTCTCCTTTTGGCATCGATTTGCGCGAAATATAGATTTGGTTTGCTTTCGGGAAGGATTCCGTATCTCAAAGATTTAGTCAAACAAATACATGACGTTGCAAACAGTCTACATACCAGTTCAGTTTTGCGCGCCAAAAGCCGCATGGACTCATATGAAATGCATTCATTCAACATCCGCGTATCAGACAGTGCCATGGTTATGAGTGGGCTCAGATGCTGGTAGGATATTTATCCTAAAATCCGCACAATAAGTCCGAACTTATCTGCAGTTTTGACACGAAAAATCGATGAAAAATCGCCCTCTGCGCCGCCAAAAGTCTTGCAGATAAGTCCTCCTAAATCCTCTATCAGATAAGTCCGCAGCAGATAAGTTCGCCTATCCTGAGCATGAGAAAGCGGACTTATCTGCTAGGTCTGCTGCGGACTTATCTGATAGGTGGAATTATCTGATAGGCAGACTTCTTGTACGGATTTTAGGGTAATGCAAAATCCCGTGAGCTTGCTTGCAACCCGCTCAATGAATTTCAGACAGACAGAGACACAAAACTACAAAAAGTTGTAGCCCTTTTTGTAAAACTAGCTAGCATTGCCGGCATTACCCGGATTCTCAAATAGTCTGGCGCTGGGTTGGAGTGCGACTCCAAATCTAACGAAAGCAAAATAGTCTTTTTCCGAGTTCTCCTGGTTTTATTGCCAGTGTTTACAAGAAAGTGGGAAGATGTTTGCCAGCGAATGCTAAAAAACATCTTCATTGGAAAATTTCAAAAATATTAGGTTGATGCACAATTCTTGCACCAAAAGATACAAAAAAATTATTTTAAAAATGCGTAAATAAACTATCCAACTTATATGTTCTGCTCTTTGTGATGTACATCAAAAGTACTATTTTATAGTACATTTTGGAAAGTCAATTTGAAACAAGATCGATAAGTCATTTCAAAAAAAATCGAAATCAATACTTATATAATATTTGAATAAGCACTTTTTTTATGACCGGCCTGAAATGGTAGAAAGAATCAAGGAATTTGGACGAAACTTTGCACACAAGAAATTCTGGGTGGGGCGGGTGTCACTAAGCTTTTTCACCGAAAATCGCCGAGTGGCGTTATCGATTTATCGATTTTTTGCGTTTTTTGCCTAGCAATTTCGTTATGACCGGCCTGAAATGTCAGAAAACTTCATTAAATTCAAACGAAACTTTGCAAACATGAACTTCGGGGTGGGGCGGTTGTCACTAAGCTTTTTCAGCCAAAATCGCCAAGTGGCGCTATCGATTTATCGGTTTTTTTTTTGCGTTTTTTGCCTAGCAATTTCGTTATGACCGGCCTAAAATGTTAGAAAACTTCATTAAATTCAAACGAAACTTTGTACACATGAACTTCGGGGTGGGGCCGGTGTCACTAAGCTTTTTCACCATAGGGGTTATCGATTTATCGAATTTTGGGTTTCAATCTTTGTTGAGCGAAAACTGGCAGGAAGGGATAGCTAAGCATGGTCAATTCGAATAAATTATCTACAACTTTAACCACTAAACTTTTTAAACCTTTTTTCTTAATTTTTTGTATGCCACATTCTGGAGGCTAGCTGATATTTAACTATGCATTCACCTTTCGCAACGGGTTTCGTCGACTGCATGGCTCATCAACAAAATCAGAATGGTTCATCCGCGAGATCAAATATGACCACCAAATCAAAATACCCTATCCCGGCCTTACGGTTCATTCATACCATGCCTTCATCGTGGTCGTACCTCCTTCGACTACTGTCACTCCCAAGACCATGGCGCCGACATTGACCCCCTCCAGCAATGGACCGTCCCCTCCACACCTCAGTCGCAGATGCATATTGCCCAGAGATCCCGAGCCCGTGCCGCAGCAAGGCGCACTTCTGAAGCCATGCGTAGCCCCTTCGTCGTAGCCGAGAAACACCAGAGGAACGAGAACGGCGTCTTGCCTCAAGGCGTGAACGTCATCTTCGTCGACGGCATCAGGAACCACAGCGCAACGGACACCTTCAGGAGACACTGGATCAATCCAGGCAAGGTGCGAGCCCAGAACGGGTTGGCCAACGAGGATACGAGCCAATCGACGAGAACACAGCACAAACGATCTTTACGCTTGACTCGCGGCAACAAGTGATGTTTGAACCGGCACCTACCTCCACCCCCATTCCGCAGATGCACATTGCGCAAAGAACTCGAGCACGTGGCACAATGCGGAGCTCCGTAACTGCACATAACCGTCTTCATCATGGCCAGGAAGCACCAGAGGCCCAAGAAGAGCTTGCCCCGGTGCACGTAATATACCTTCGTTGTCGCCAGCACTACCACTTTTCAAAAAGATATAGATTAGATATATAGATTAGATTTATAGATTTGATTTACCCCTTTTTTATGTTCGTTCACGATGAATAGAAAAGGAATCATAGGATTTAAGGCAGATTTGGCAGACGTAATGCATGGTGTGCGCCGTTGTTAATAAGCCATTTGTTCGATACACACGGTTTGTTGCTATCGACTTATGGATTTTTGCACTTTTTGCCTAGAAATTATCTTTGCTTGAAAACGATAGAAGGAGTTATGGAATATAGACCAAATTTGCAGGCATAACGCATGGGTGGGATGTGTTTTAATCAGCCGTTTGTTCAACTATAATGATCGACCCTTTTAATTTATTGATTTTTCGCAGTTCGCGTAATATCCATTGCTTAGTGTTAATTCGAAATAAACTGACAAAGCCGAAATTGTCCACGGTTGTTCTTTCTGAGCCGGTTATAAACGAAGTAGTTCGTGCAAAATGGCAAATTTTCTGCATTTCACTTTCAATAAAGAACAAAACGAAAGATTTACCGGAAGCGAAGCTGCCGACCAGCCGAACCTGCCGCGTAGCGGCAGAGAGAGGCTGGTACGTAAATATTCGCAGAGACATCCAATCACTACCAACTTCTCTTAGTTAAAAAGAGCATGCCATAAAACTTAGACCAAAAATAAATTTAAATTCTAGTAGACGTTCTAGCAGTTTTAGTGACTAAAAATCGAAAAATCACTTTTTGGGCATTTCTCTTATTCACCTTGTATCGTAGCCATATGCCCTCAAGGACTTTTGGCTCTTGCTCTCTCCGCTATGTATCGAACCAGAAGATTTCATCGCAGCTGGATGAAGTAACAGAATTTCAAAAATTTTGGTGCAGGAATTATGCATCAACCTAATAATTGAATCTGTAGAAGGGCCTACAGAAAAAGGTCTGAGATGTTCATATAATCATAACCGCTATAAATTCGCATTCGGCACAAAAACATTCTTGAAATTAACACGGATTTTCATTTTTTGCCAGTATATTGTTTTTGGCTATGCCTTTTCACGCAGTTCCAGCGGCTTTTCAAGTTTCTTCCAAAAAGCCCTGAAATTCTCAAAGATGGGGTATTCGCATGGTTACAAACCGCACTTTATAAGGCTTTCTACTGACCAAAACTTCTAATCCAATTATTCTCAACACCGATAAATAGGAATGGTGGTTGATAGCAATTAGTGTGAACAGCTGTTTTTTCGTCAAGTTTCAGCGGGAGTTCATTAAAAATGTATTAGAATCTTCACTCAACTCAGACAAAAAGAAGTCCAGCGAAGATGCAGAAGACTTCGACGATTATATCGAGTACATATCTTTGTTGATCTTTGTAAGGTTTGCAACAGATTTTCGCTTCAGACCGCAACCTCCATTCGAGAAAACTACATTTGAAAAATTGAAGGAAGAGGTCCAACACGATTTCTTGCTTTGGATACTAGAAAGGGACTCTCTCTACTTCCAGGTGCCTCTTACTATTGATAAATCGAACATACTGTTACTTGGTCCATCCGGATGTGGAAAGACCTACCTTACACAATGTCTTGCACGGCTATTGGATGTCCCAATAGGTCAGCCAGCTTTTTATTTAGAGTGTGCCCAACAGCAGGCATAGTCGTTCTTCAGCAATGTGCGACTGCACTACTTTGACGCAAGCTGGATATGTAGGCGAGGATGTTGACACAGTCATCCAAAGGCTCTTGGTAAATGCTCACGGGAATGTGGAAAAGGCTCAAGTGAGTAGTTTACGACAAAAGTTTTGATGCTATCAGCTGCTATAGCGTGGCATAGTATTCCTTGATGAATTTGACAAGATACATTCATCGGTAGATCCTGTCCACTCTCCCGGAAATCGCGACGTTAGTGGAAGAGGTGGGTTCTATATCTTCCTACAGTTAACACATTGTTTAGAGTATTGAGATACCAGTGCGTCACCTCTGCTTCGCAGAGGTTCGCACTGGCTCTATTATCTATGTGCCTTACTGATTCTCGTAAAATCGTGGCACTGGAACTCACCGCGCTATGCCGACTACCACGAATAAAATGTAAACAACTACTCATTTAGAAAGTCTTTTCACGTGAGACCGGTGATTTCGCGTGGATGAAACTTTTCGCAGGAAGACAAACGCAAATTTGAATAGGTTTTTGGATTTGCCATGACTTGGTAGTCGCCATAAAGGTAACGATAACCGTGAGCTACATCTCTGTGCGAAAATCTTCTCAAACGTTTAGCTAGAACCTTGGCAAATTGACCATTTACACAACCAATTCGTTTTGGCGCCGTTTTCGTTATGTTGTAAACTTTCGACCACTTTTCTGGCTAAACTCCATCGCTTGCACATCTGCTTACCAAACTCATCCACGACTCTGCAAAAAGTGGTGATACGGAACGAATTTTGCGGTACAGAAGCCAGGTGGACCCGTTTGGCGCGCAATTTCTGAGGGATCCACTCAACGAATCTACTCGTGCTTTTGCATGTTGGACTTTCATGAAGGTAGCATGCGCTATACAAGATTTGGGCTTAGAACGCTGGCTGGAACACGCTCCACGAATTTCGTAACAGACACACACACACACACAAAGTCACGTAAACATCCGTAGCCCGTTATTATAAGTTACTAGTTGGCTTTCCCGGTCCAGCCCGGGCCATTGTTCACCTGCACTGCGAGCCCACCCAGGGCCCGGCACAGATCGTCTAGAAGCAGGCTGGACTTCGTTTTTGGAGCAAAAAGCAAAGGAGATATCGTTTTTGACGATTCGGGGCCCAGCACCAAGAATAAGCGCCATTTAGTCGAATACAAGCTTTTCAGACAGGTTATCACACGATTGACATGCTCTATCGTGTATGGCGAAAAGTGCGCGCAATTTGAAAGCAAGGCTAAAATGAACAAATTGCTTGTTTACAGTGCACACAAAGTCATATGACACCAAAATTGTACTGTATACATTAAAAATTATTTGCAAAAGAATTATATATAAAGGTTTCAAAACTTATGTGAAGTAATACGTTTTCCAAAATTAGATCGTCTCCAGACGGCCACCAGACGATCTGAGATCGTCTGGAGCATATATTTCTGTCACTTCACATAAGTTTTGGATTTTTCTACCATGGACGGATTCCCCGGTCAAAAATCTACCCCTGAGCATGAAAACATTTTCATATCATTGCCTTTCCTTTGTTTTTTGCCTTCATTTTCTCATATATCGCTTTGTAAAATATCGCGCTCCAATCCCAAACTCTTGTGCATGCGTAGTACTCAGCTCCAATTTGGATTTTCACTCTTATCCTACGTTTTATCTTTCAGACTAGTAACTATTCCTTGTTTTCATCTTCTCCTAAGCAAATAGGTCAAAGGGGACTTCGTAAAACTTCCGAAAGTCATGGAAGACTTCGTTTTCAGAAACGCCAGAAACCGACTCGTGCCGGGCCCTGAGCCCACCCCCTCATAGATGTTATGGATGAATTACCCTGGTACATCCGCTTCGGAACCGCATCCTCGTGACCTGAGTTGAAAACTTCACCGCCATCCTTTACACGACTATTGCAAAATGCTTGATTAAACATGATAAGCCTTTAATTCCTTAAAAAACGTAAACAAATCAATAAATCGATGGAAGGACCCAACGGATCACCGCAAAAAGTAACCTATCATCTGCGCAGGAGTCGAAAACATATATGTGCAAAGTTTCAGCTGAATCGATTGAGCGGCGAGCGTTTCTATAACGCACATACCCTCCAAACTGACAATTTTTGAGTTTCATATATGTACTAGTTGGCTTCCCCGGTCCAGCCCGGGGTATTTTCCACAGATGAGGTAGATGGTGCGGTTGCCAGCAAAACTACCGCACTGCAACCCCCCCCCCACGTTTTTTCATATGAATGACCTAGCTTGCGGCGCCCATTTCGGTTCACTGCATCCTCGTGCTCCTGTGGTAGAAATGAACTCACTGCATCCTCGTGCTCCTGTGGTAGAAATGAACTTCACCGCTCTCCTTTACATGACAATGAGAAAATGCTTGGTCAAACATGATAAGCCTTCCATTCCTTAGAAAAAGTAAACAAATCAATAAATCGATAGAAGGACCCAACGAATTGCCGCAAAAAGTAGCCTATCATCTGCGCAGGGGTCGAAAACGTATGTGTGCAAAGTTTCAGCCGAATCGGTTAAGCGGCGCGCATTTCTATAACGCACATAGCCTCCAAACTCACAATTTTGAGTTTTATATACAGGGTGTCCCAAAAGTATGTATCGAACGTTTGATCGTTAATAACTCTCTTCCCAAGAAGTCTTTTGCCTTGCTTCAGGTACCGTTTTGTAGAGCTGGCTTCAACTTAGATTTGCAGTATAGAACGAATCACTCATTTCTCTTCATTACTGTAGGATTACGGTAGAAACTTCAAGGAGGGTTTTAAGCAATGAAAGGCCATATTTTGCCCCAGAAAGGAAACAAAACAGCCTTAAAACTTTTACACTAGGCTAATTAGAGTTGCTGATTATAACTGTAAAGTTCCCAACTTATTATGATGCTTCATTGAAGAGTTATACCAGGTAAGGAGTAGCGGCCATTTTTTCTATGTTCCTAAAAAGTGGGATTGCACCGTTTAGAAAGCTTCGTAATCTTGTGAATAGTTAATTATTGAACTCAGCGTCCATAAAAACCCTATTACACAAGTTTTCACGATTTTTTTGAAAAATTTTGAAACGGCAGCTTTTTTCACATTAACACCATATGTTTCAAGTTTCTACCGTAATCCTACAGTAATGAAGAGAGATGAATGATTCGTTCTATAGTGCAAATCTAAGTTGAAGCCAGCTCTACAAAACGGTACCTAAAGCAAGGCAAAAGACTTCTTGGGAAGAGAGTTATTAACGATCAAACGTTCGATACATACTTTTGGGACACCCTGTATATATAGATAGATGATTATGATAACACAAACACACACACACACTTATTATAATTATGAGCCGTTTTAGTAGAGAGAAGGTTACAAAACAAAGGCACACGACCAAATCGTTCATGGTTTTCAGTTTGTTCTTGTTAGCCCTGGTGCGAATGTCGTCTTTACAAAAAAAAGTAAAGTTACGTGCGCTTTCCCACATAAGTTTTCCATACAACATGAAATTGAATGTGCACTGTTCAACGAGTCACATTTTCACACTTTTAAAGGCAAGAAACTTGCAGACAAAGGCTTGCTACATCCTTAGCTTCCTCATATTTTTTCCTGTTCCAACCCTTGTCCGTTTGAATATCAGCTAGTGATGTTTGAGGTACAGTTAAACGTATATTTGCAATAATTTTGGCATTTGCCATATTCGCGCTGGACTCTCTGTGCTGGGCCTTGCTCAAACGAAGGAATAGTGCTTAAGGATCACCATATGCATATTTCTTATTCGCAATGATATTCGTGCTAGAGCACCGCAATTGAAGACACAGCATTCATCTTCCATGCAGCAGGCTTCTGTTTAATGGGGCAGAATTCGTGGCTACATGCAGCTTGTACTTGTTAGCTCAATGTATTAATACGAACTATTCCAGGTGTACAACAGGCTCTTCTCAAACTAGTCGAAGGAACTGCAGCAAGAGTGAAAGTCCCGGGGCAAATGGGCAAAAGAGTGAGTGTCCTACTTACTATTGGTGTCTTTTAATCTGGTGTATTCTAGCATTTTCTTTATATTTCCTGGATATTTTCTGCTGGATACGTAGCAGTTCTGCGAGCAGTGGGATATGGTTTGACAGCAAAATTGCCATGTTCTACCATCCCTCGCTTCATACGTCCACAATTATTTTGTTGACCGTGTTGGCTGCATTCACAAGTACCTAGCATAAGAAAGCATATCCAGCTGAATATTCAGCTTGCCATCCGTTCGACGAACATTTGCCCAAAGAAAGCTGAAATCTTTTTTTGTGCATCGCAATTCACCCACTCATACTACTTCGTACTACTTTGAGTCAGTCACAAAGAGTAGACATTCCTTCTCACATCCGCATAATCCGGCGAAATGTTGGGTATGTCAGGTAAACTTGGGAAAACTGAGGTAAAGTTCATAAAGGTTGATCCATATTTTCGCAGTGACAGCAGTTGTCCAAAGTCTCAGGTGCGTAACAGTGCGAGAACAGCTGTTTTCTAAAGGGGGGTGAGGACTTCGGATTTATCTGTTTAATGGCTTTATTTAGAGACACAAGAGCGGCCCATATTTTATCTCGTTTTCTGCTAAGTCCTTCCCTTAAGACAACCTCCATGCTCATAGAGCTTACTAGATGCAAGCAAGAAGATATTTTCTATAGAGCCTTTCCAATTTCCTCCTCGTATTTTCACAAAGGGCTTCTTCATTTAGCTGATTCTTTCCGACATCCGCGTTTGATCGTCTTTCCTGACTTTCTTGTCTTCAGTCTGCTTCACTTTTCTTAAAACGACTTCGCTTTTGAAATGAATATGCGAGGGGAATCTGCCGACAACTCATACCGCTCACTTTAAAATTTGGTGACTTCAGTACCCTCTGCAAGATTGCAGTGAACAGCTTCGGCGATACCAAGTCGCCTTGTCTGCCGCTTTCCAAATGGTTTGGTTGGAGGGATAAAGAGTAGTTTATTGTTGTGCTGTCCTTGTACCAACTGGCATGTGTCGCTGTCGCTTAGTAGATTCACTCCATGGTCGTAGCGCTGACAAGATTGCGCGCATATTTCAAAGCTCAGAGGTTCTGTGTTAGTCGACGAATGATATTTCAATGGACAAGCGGGACTCCAGACAAACTTTCATAACTCGCGAATTTGTTTGGGTGTCCTATGCAATCAAACTATATGAGATGCCCAGCTTAGGCCCCGGACAGACTTCACGCGATTTGATCGTCGCGACTCAATCGCCGACATTTCCATTCATTTTCATTTCATATTCAAAAATTTCGGGAAAAATTCTGGAAAAGTATCACAACTGAAATGCAAGTTGATCGGCATGGAAGGATGCTGTAACGTTGTCTCGTCGCGGCGAAAACAGTACGCGAGAAAGTGTCTGGCGATTAGATGTGTGCTTGGCTCGAGTCATCGCTATTCCAGCTGTACTGTTTCTTGTTCATACGTATTCTAGGCCTTCAATTTCACGGCGAATGAAATGTAATGTTTTCCATATGTTAGTCGCATCGGCGCCCTTACAACTCCTCGTTTTTCCCAATCGCTAAAATATCAGGCAAAATATGATTTATGTTACACTGTGATCACATTCTCTATCTAGCAATCAAAAAAGAGTAAAAAGGGCGGATTGCAAACGCACATATAATAGGGCGGATTGCGCATAATGTTCAATAATTGAACCTTTCTCCCTATCTTTAACAGTAAACTGTATCGTGTGCGGTAGAAGGGAGTAGCAACTGATTATAGGCCGTACCAGCCAGCATCGGTCCCCCGCCAGTATGCTTGCGACGACGCACCCTCGCATGCGACGTGCCTTAACGCGTAGCATAGTTCGCACGCGTCACACCGCACCGTCGCAAGCTGCCGCAGGCGCGATGTCGCATAACCGATGCTGGTTGGTACAGCATATACATGTGTGCATATCGATTGCTTTCTAGTCTCAAAAATGGATGATCATTCTTAAGCTCACACAAATACCATACATTTTTCAGCGAAAGCTCATCATGCGAAGAACACACCATCATCTGAAATGTCTCGTGTAAATTAACACAAGAATTCCAACCGACTCTGAGCAAGGCGTCTTACGGCGCGCAGCTTGACAAAAAGGTCATCCTGGTCGGCTGTGGACGTCTTCATAATCTGGAATGTGAAGTTTGGGTGGTACTTCTCCATTTGTGTACGGAAGTCGGCGTTGACGAGTGGAAATCCTAGGAGGCTTCTCGCGAAAAGTCCCACACTTCGTCGAAGAAAGGACGAGATTGTAAATTGTACATATCTACCAGCGACACGTATGTTCTAACCACCTAGGCACTTCTTGAGACTTCATCGTCCTTCGCCTGCCTCCAATACTTTCATTTGTCTGCACTTAAGCCGCAAAGGCTTATGTAATAAGCCAGTCTTGAATCCATTCCAAGCGTCAGTTCTGCTTTAGAGTTCAAGATCTGTCGGATTGAAGGATAACTCGCGTTCAAAGGAACAAAAGTTTGCACGGATTACTGTCTTTGTCTTTAACAAAAGGCAAATCAAAACCTGAGGACATTATGCAAAGTGTATCAATAATGTGAAATACAACATAACTTATGCAGGAAAAGCTTAAGATTCTCTGCTAAAGTATGATCCAATCAACTCAACATTTAGATTGAAGTGGACACTACTGATATCCTCTTCATTGCCTCCGGCGCATTTCCTGCTTTGGAGGAGATTGTTGCTCGTCGCATTGACAAACGGTACTACAGAAGTGCGCAATACCAGGAGATAGTCAATTTATTCTAGGACTCTCGGTTTCGGATCGAAGTATACCAATGTTGCTGAAGACCTATCTTCAGGTAACGAAAGCATTGCTGCGGAAAAGAGAAACGAGCTATTATCAAAAGCTGACCAGTCAGATCTTATGAAGTGCGCTTGTCCTTTCTTTCTTTTCAAGGTGTATCAATAAAAGGAAAACGTTAGCTCTTTTTAAAATGTAATCTCTTGAGATTTTCACAACAGCTCACCTGAAGTTATTTCAGATTTGGAATGGTTGCAGAACTAGTGGGGCGATTCCACATTCTCGTGCCATTTCATTCCTTGGATGAGAACATGCTAGTGCGCATACTTCAAGAGCCAGGGAACAGCTTGCTGTCTCAAGCGCAGAAGCTTTTTGCTATGGATCAGATTGAACTGCGGTAATTACTTTCCTCAGCTAGTCTTCCACATCGGCTAATTGCTGCACTACACTGCTATGCATTACAATGCTCAGTGAACGAAATAGATTGCAAAAGACCGTTTTCTATCAAAAATGGTTAAGGGTCACTCACGGTGCAATGCTCGAGATGGCTCGAATGGCTAGTCAACGAAGGACTGGTGCACGAGCATTAAGGTGATTATCGAAAGCCTCTATTCGTATTGGGTATAATGGTGTTAAGGTCAATTTTGGAGAATGTTCTATTGCAAGCTAAATACGATTGTCCAGGCAGTGAAACGCATACCGTTGTCATCACTGGAGCTGTTGTGAGGGGAGAGTCTCCCTATGTTAGAATGTCGCGACCTACAAAAAATAACGAGGATGGAGAGAATAACACCAAAAATTAATCTACTGGTTGTTAATGAACTAATGAGCAGGAGTTTTGTTCTATTTCTCACAGAAAAATCTTCTTTTGGCGGTTTTCCTCGATTTTTGCTTTGCGACCTCCGATTCGAGACTGAAAGGAAGAGGGGCGGGGTGAGCCTGCTATGCGAGCTGGTACAATACAAGAAATTCCTAGTTTGTAAACAGAGCTGTTTATTGGTTTGAGCAATGGGAAGCCATACAGATGCCTTTAATTGCGACCATCGCAGCTTGCAGACGCATGTTCTACGTGCATACATAGCTAGGATATGGATATAAGGAAGCAAAAAACCCTTCAAATAAAATAAAGGCCAAGGGAATCTAACTTCAGGAGATGCATGCACTCTGAAGAAAGCACGTCAAAGTTGTCACAATCTGTGAATATTCTATACTCATCGGCAGATGCCTATGTAAATTTCAGTGCTGATTGTTAGCTGCGCATCATCAACTACATGGAAATTCGATCAGCTTTCACCTGTTATATAGCATTTACTTCTTTATGAGGCTAGGTAGAACCTTCAGAGCACCGGGCGATTTCGTGCAGTCGACTTTACTTGGGTCTACTCCAAAATGACAATCTAACACTCGGAGGGAACTATATGTCGCTGTTAAGTAGCACCTCGACGCCTAGTACGAATCCGTATTGTTTCTATTAAAGAGGGATGTGCAAAATTCTTCGAAAACGCAAGCTGCATAGTTATTCCAAGGGCGGACTGTCAATATAGTTGGCTGCATGGAATCGCCCAGCACCCGCGAGCGTGTCTTTTGCGGGCTAACATTGACATTCGCGCACATGGATAATCATACCGCCTGTACTCGGCAGCCGCGTTGCAGGCACGCTCGCGGACGTTCAGCTTACACCGATATGGGCGAATTCGTGCAGTCGACATTATTTGAGTGTACTCCAAATACGACAGTCTAACATTTAAAGTAGGGGACTATATGTCGCCAATAGGTCCCACCCGCGCTGGCGGCTGGTATGAATCTGCATTATCTCTAATGAAAATTGATGTGCAGGTAGAATTCTTTGAATATGCATGCTGCATAGTTATTTCAAGGGCGGACTGTCAGTATAGTTGACTGCATCGAATCTCCCCAGTCTGCTCGCGAGCCCGTCTCTTGCGGACTGATGTTGGCATTCGCGCCTGAGTCATCATAGGAAGCGAACGAGTGAAGCTGCGCGCTTGTCGCAAATGTCTGCGTGAGGCTATCCGCTCTCAGGGGCATATAGGCTGCTGTATCAGCCACCATTGGTCGCAGGAACCCGCGAAATGAGGCTGCGTATGTGCGCCGCATAGCGAAGTGGTAATCGAGCGCAAAAGCTAGCCTTTTGCTTAGGCATATAAACACTCCCTTTCTGTATTAGTCTTCACTCCTCTTGTTGAACAACTCGTTTGAAGTTCTTTTTCCAATTCTATTGGACATTTAAGATAGTGTCATGTAGTCGATAATTACTACTTCTGCTCTATCCCATATTATACGGTTCTTTGATAGAATAAGAGAAAATGATCAAGATTATTAAACAGTGGGTGCAATCCGCCTTACTAAGCGTTGCATAGCGTTTACGACATCTCAATATTTATTTATTTATTTATTTATTTATTTATTTATTTATTAAATACATCGTAAACGATGCACCACCTCAAAAATGAAATACAAAGACGATTAAATATGGAACGGGGTGGGAGAGAAAGGCAAGAATGACTTCACATTTGCTTTCACTTTCGAGTCGTATCCAGACAAATCTAATAGACTTTTTATATAATTTCGGGAAAATGATAAAGCTCAGGGGTTGCTAAAAAAGGCCAACATTGTTGGAAATGTAACTTCTGAGAAAGATGCCGGTTGCATTCGATGATGATGTAGGTAAATAATGTAAAGGCGATGGTGTTGAGAATTAGAATTTAGAAGATATGAGTGGATTTCTTATACATTATTGGGAGTTTCGAACACATGCATAGCGACCAGCAGAAGTAGTAGATATTGCGCTCAAAATGCGAAGTGTCATGAAGTACCACTTGTGGCATGTCATTTTCGATACATGATGTACCAGTCCATCCATTTATCCATCCATCAAATTGTCCACTGATCGATCCATACCATCCATATGCATACATACATACATACATATATACATACGTACATACATGTGTCAGTTGATTACTTCACTAAGTCCGCATTTGAGTAACGAAATGCTGATTGATGTGCGAGCTCAAAGCTTCCAATAATATGCGTTGAGTTGTACAGATAAAGTATATAGAGAATCGGCTAGCAGGGTTCTCTAATACAATCGTGGGTAAATAATAGTTTCGTTGTCACCGGTAAGTGGGAGATTTTCTTGAACTGTGTAATTGAGAGTCAGTCAGGATTGACGTGTACAGAAGAAAGGATACGATATGAAAGTAGATGCACATAAAACTATCACTTGCATTTCGTCTCCCAATATATGCTTCGAAGAATACAGCAGTAGCGGATGGTAATCATATGAAGACAAAAATTCAACAGAGAAGTTAAATACTTGTATAATAATGACACTCTAATTACATTCTCTAATCAAAAGATCAATATTTTGATCTTTTCGTTGATTAGAGAATGTAATTAGAGTGTCATTTGAAACAAAAATTGTGACATGTTGGCGATGCGAAAACGTTGCAATGGCACTGATGGTCTAGAATATGAGCAACATTATATAAATCACTCGCAAACTCAAACTCAAACGCAAACGTGGATTAGCGATGAGTTGAGCCAAGCAAAATTCTAATCGCTAGTCGCGTTCGCACTCGCGTACTATTTTCGCTGTCTGCATCATGCGCACAGCTTCAGCTCATGGGATCACGACCGATGCTGTGTGGTATATATAGCCTACTGGCGACCCGCAGGGTCGTAGCAAGTGGGTCAGGGCAGATGCAATATAAGGGTTTAGCTGTGACTAAAAATATTTCTGAATAACTTTTCTGTTCTTTTCCTGAGAACATTTTTGCGAAGAGGATTCTACAAAAGGAAAACTGCTTGAAGAAGCGATAATCTCCACAAATCATTCAGCATTTCTTGAAATTCCTGCTACAACCATGTATGATATTATTCTTATCTCGTTTACACGCTCTTTATGCAACTCCCCTCCTCATAGAGACATTCAGATACCCCCCCCCCCACTTTTTTACCCTCTCAAAGAGAATTTGCTCTTTCGGTTCTTCTCAACAAGTTCCATGAAAGATCGTTGAGTAAGTAGCAGAACATCTACCGTTTTGGAAGTAGAATTACACTATAAGAATTAGTGTACTACAAAAAACACTTTTCTCTCAGAAATTCCGACAGCAACGAAATCAATCGTCTAAGAACTTTGTTAAAGAATCCTTATTTTTTCGCTGAAGGAATATGAAGCTTTACTACAAAAGGGAGCCGCCCGAAGACCGTCAATCATAAGAACTGCACAATCGTACATGAAATTTCTTTCCCTGTCCGATCAAATTGCCCTACGTGCCGCTTGAAGACCGTTTGAAAATTAAAAGAACTGCCCCAAACATACAAAAATCTGTTTCCCTGCCCGATCGGGTTGCCCTACGTGCCGCTTACAGACCGATAGTAACTATTCAAAAAGAAAGTTTATTCCCCACGTGCCGCTTGAAGACCGTTCAAAAACTATAAGAACTGCCCAAACATACAAAAATCTGTTTCCCTGCCCGATCGGGTTACCCTAAGTGCCGCTTACAGACCGATAGTAACTATTCAAAAAGAAAGTTTATTCCCCACGTGCCGCTTGAAGACCGTTTAAAAATTATAGGAACTGCCCCAAACACAAAAATCTGTTTCCCTGCCTGATCGGGTTGCCCTACGTGCCGCTTGAAGACCGTTCAAAAATTACAAGAACTGCCCCAAACATTAAAAAAATCTGTTTCCCTGCCCGATCGGGTTGCCCTACGTGCCGCTTATACAAACCAATATTATCTATCTAAAACACAGTTCATGCCCTACGTGCCGCTTGAAGACCGTTTAAAAACTATAAGAACTGCCCAAACATACAAAAATCTGTTTCCCTGCCCGATCGGGTTGCCCTAAGTGCCGCTTACAAATCGATAGTAAATATTCAAAAAGAAAGTTTATTCCCTACGTGCCGCTTGAAGACCGTTCAAAAATTACAAGAACTGCCCCAAACATTGAAAAAATCTGTTTCCCTGCCCGATCGGGTTTCAACAGACTTTTGTATAACGGTGACAAGTTTTCCTCTCTTGCACAGCAAACCTGCAGAGAATACAGTGCCTAAATATCACTCATCTCAGATCTCAGTAAAATAAAAACAAATTTCCTCACTCATCTTTCGTTTGTTTTGTTAGTTCTTTCAGACGTTCCGTTACATCTGCTCATTTGTATCTGCTATTTGTACGCACATGCGGATGTCATATTTGGAGTAAAATCTCTCTCACTGAGTGTTTTCAAGATATAAACACTTCACACAGAAGGGTCGAATTTGTAATGAACTCAGTTTTAGCTCCGATGTTACCGGGAGTACGCTTGGCAAATTTCTACCTCAAAATTCCCCTCTCCATAGAAACTAAATTTTCGGCGATAACAATCTTATTAGGAACAAATATCAAAGACATAGAAGCACAAGAGAATGATGATCCAGCTGCGAAAGACTTCCGGTCAGATTAGATTCCCCTCTCCATAGAAATCAATTCTTCGGCGATGACAATCTCTTATTAAGAGCAAATTTCAAAGAACATATTCTCGAATGAGAAGAATCCAGAACAACAGTTATGTTATTGGAAGAAATTCTAGAATGAACGTGGAAATTAGAACAACTCCTAGGATGGTCAAAACTGCAGACCTGAAAAATAAAGACGATATCGATCGAAAACACGCCCGAAACATGCCGTTATGCATATGTGTTGTTTTAGTTGCCATACTTACGAAATTTGGCACCGTTCCAAAGGCTTACGAAAATCTGGCATCGTGCCATTTGACTGACTTCAACTCGCCGCTATTGGCAGCAATCCAAAAACAAAGATCAGTGTATTTCATCATAATTTCTCCGTCTGCGGCCTCCTCGTTTGCCATGTTCCACGGACCAGGGGTGTTAATGGGTAAACAACGATTCCAAAATATATTACGTGATGATGTAGTGATGTAGTCGGGTAGATGACTATATATGACCGAGAAGGGCGGTTCCGCATGGACTTCTGCGACAGACCACACAGCCATGAATGTTACAAACATTACGGAATCGTAGCAACTGTCCGCGCGGGGTGGTCACAGATAGTCCCCTACCCCATACATTCCTTCACCTTAACACTGCTATCTTACAAACTTATCTTTTCGCAACGGATTCCTTCGCAGCCTCGTGCCGGGCGGCTTGAGTTGCTGTCCTTTCCAGTTCTTCAGTCATGCGAACTTATCTTATTCTAATTTGTCCTATGCTACAGCAATTCAAATCGTATAAACTCTTCCCTTTTTATTCTCTTTCTTCAAATTTCTTACGTTTGGGTAGAAGTTCTTGGGAGCAGATAATCGCATTCTACCTTAGCTTTTTGAGCTTGGGTGTAAACTTGATTAACTTTTGATAAAACTTATAAAGCCGACGAGCTTTGCGGGCGAACATCCCGACGAACTAACAGTTCCATTTCTTTGTCGTTCAGCCTAATTTTTAACTTTATTACAAAGAAATCAGCTAAATACTTGAGCTCTTTTGTAATGAATCTTGTGTCATTCAGCCCTTTCGACATGTCGTAGTCCTTATTTACAACTGTCTCGTGTGAAATTATATGAAACAACAGCAGTTGCAGAAGGATAGCAGTTACTAGAGGCGCTAAAGATTCACGAGCAAAGCTGAAGCCTGCATAAATTGTGAGAAAAAGGACCAGTGCCCTGCAAGAGGGCAAATAGAGAGCGGAAGCGGATTGAAGCGGATTTGCCTTTGCCATTTCGATTTTTACGCTTTCCACTTAATCGAGCTAGCTGCATAGCTAATTCAACTGGATCCTGCTTTCCTCCTCAAAAAGAAAGGAGTGTTGCTACACGGGGTTACGGATCAACACATTTCGCGAAGCGAAGCCGCACGACGATAAGCGGTAAGGGGTCACTTTTCTCCAGTGCTCTTGACTCTTGCTCTGCTCTTGAATGTCACTTATATCATCGAGTCATGTATCTGCCCCATACCTACACTTCTACCATGCCGCCGTCGCCTTAAAGGCAGCGTCCAGGCAGATCTGGACCTATGGGGCTTTTACGTGGAAAGTACTTTTGGGGCCCTAACTAAGGCCAAGCCATTACCTGAGCTGCCCAAGCGGCAGCTCAGGTAATGGCTGGTGCTGTAATGGCTGAGATATTCCCCTCGAAACTGGACCCCGCGACCGTGTTTCGCATGGATTCATGGCGCAAAGCGTCGATCCTGGCGCGAAACTGCCATGAATCCATGCGAATACGTTCGCGGGGGCCAGTTTCGAGGGGAATATCTCAGCCACTAGAGCACTACCTGAGCTGCCGCTTGGGCAGTGCCTTAGTTAGGGCCCCAAAAGTACTTTCCACGTAAAAGCCCCATAGGTCCAGATCTGCCTGGACGCTGCCTTTAACACCGGAAAGTTTTTGTGGGTCACAAAATTGGGGCGCGGCATCCGCGCGGAACGGCCGTGTGCGGTGTGGCACCCTACCCGTAACCCCCATCGAACCATGACAAAGAGGAGGTGGAGATTTTTGAAACCGAAGTGTTACTATACGGTAAACTTTTGTGCAGGACAGATTAACACAAAATCTATGAAAATTAGGTGGACTGAAAGTTTTATCACCCTTAGGTGGCAATATGCCACCCTAATTCGAAAAGAAGTTGGGCATGCTCTTTATCCACATAAGTTTTCCATAAAATCTCATAATTTGTTCCTGTTTCCCATGACGCATATACAACCATACAGCCTTAGCATAATTTTTCCATAGTGTCTTTGCATCGCTCCTCCTTGCCTTTGCCTGTTTACATAACAAAGTCATTGTTATGTTGTTGTGTGTGCGCTGTAAACAAGGCAGTAATTTACCACCTGGCGTGAAAAAGTTTGCTTTTTTCTTGAAAATGAGCCTTGAAAAAAAAACCGTGTTTGTGAACGTCGGTCGTAGAGACTTGTTGAGAAGTTGGCATTGCGTATAAACGTGCATAATCTGTGTATTTCTTGTGTGATAACCCTTTTGCTTTTTTCCACAAAATAGGTTTCGAGCCCGGCATCTGCTATCTCCTGCCAGGGCATGAAAGGAACATAAAGAAGTATACACATATCCGTTTTTTGCAAATGCTATCAACAATTGTCTATAACAGTAAGGAGGAGGTCGTACCTGTCTTCTTAGATATTAGCAACGTTTTAATCGGTTACTGTATTGTAAAGTAAACATAAATTGGATATCATTTAAAGGTCAGGATACAGAATTAACTACGCCAGGTTCAGACGGGTAGGCTAAACCCTGTAGTATCCGTGCAGACCATCAAAGCGTGAACTTTGTCTGTTGTTGTAGATGGCTAATTGTGGTACTGGGTTTGCGATAACATCGCGAGTGTCGAAAACTTGAACACATTGCCGAGGACATACCTAATGTAGATTTAAACGTATGAATCGATTGAACTTTTCAGAGTCATAATTGTCATAAACCGCTTGAGAGACCCACCACTGTTGAAATCGGTGTGTAGCTATGTTTCCGCACTTGACCATTGCTTCCTAAAGGACTGGAGCGAACGAACTGGAATAATGCTTGAGTTGAAAGTCAGCATTCTTGTACACGCAAAAACTAGGCAGGCAAGAAAGATGAATACATTATCAGGCTGCCAATTTCACGCTCATTTTGAAATTTTTCTAGATTACCATTACTTATTGTAATTCCATGTTTATGCTTTTGCAATAGAAGCCATCGTAAGCAGTAGTTTTTCAAAGCTCACAAGGAAGGCACCTTACTTAGGCTCAGGAACGCTGACTGTCCCCTCTTAAAGAACGACACATTTATTCGCACTTGGAACGCTGGTTCCAGAGTTGTAAGCTTATTACGCTTTTTATTACGCGCCATTGGCACATTACTGTTTATGGGAAGACAGCCTGTAGGTGAAAAATCGCTTGATAAAGTTGCTGGGATATGGTAATAACATCGGGTAAGATCAAGTCTCCTTGCTGATAGGAATCAATACGCAGTTGCACTATCAGTAATGTTGATACCATAACATCTGTAAGGGCCGTACTAACATCCCCGCTAAGGGAGGGATCGCACCTAGAAGAAAGCTTTATACTCTGAAGCTGCGAGGTTCTGAATTTCACACCTCTATCCATTCTCATGTATTTGTACTACCATTTGCAACGTATTGAACGGAAGCGAGATGGTACAAGCTGCCGCTTCAACATGATATGTAGACGAAATGATATGGTTAAGAGACATGGAATGATTTCGGTATTTCTTTGCTCAAAATTATGTAAATTCACTGATAAGCCTAGACCAGCGTTTGAACCAGTGTTAAAAGTGCTTAAAAAGAGCTTCCACGCTTGTGCAACGCCAGAGAAAATTTTGCGGAAAAGTATCGGGAAAAACGCTTGCCTAAGAAAGCATGTATTCAGATTGATGAGCACTGAGCTGTGATTATTATATATTTGTTTCTGATTCAAGTTTAATTCTTCCTGTGATTCACGTAAACAATAGAATCACTTCCACTTGTTGTTTAACATATCGAAATGTGTAGATTGTTTATATAGTTTGCGTATGGTTGAGCGCAGGCAAACAATAAAAAGCACAATTTGAATGTATGTCAGCTTTCAGATATACCAAAGTACATAATGAGCAGGGATCGGCACGAGCTGGCACCAGGAAAATTTCAAAACGAAGTCCCGTTTGATCTTGAAAATTTCGTACCACCCTTTGACCTGTTTTGAAGACCCGTCATTATTTTTAGGTTATGTAAAAGTATGTAGTGGGTTTTCATGCATGCTGATCTCACGGAACAACTTTTCACAGCTTTTTGAGCTTTTTAAGTGGTTGAATCTCATCTTGAGAAGCAGAAAAAACCGATTTTTCGACTGCGGAGCAGACCGAGTAATTTTGAGATGGCTATAAAACTCTGAAAACAAAACATCATGAAACTGTTTCTTCCCTGTATGTAAACTTTTACAGTGAAGATACATTTTATGTAAAAAAGCATGAAAACTTATGCGAGCAAAAGTGTCGGTGCCAGCTAACTCAGAAAAAAAGTTCAGCACAGCTTTCGTTCACATAAGTTTTCATAAATTTTTAGGCCATAGTTCGGGTCCCCCAAAGCGCATGCACACACCAAATTTGATGTCATACTATTGCATTTTGGCTAGAAACATCGCCTTTGTTTGTTTGATGGACAGCATGCCGGCGGCATTCTTGCGGCTCTTCTCCGCCCCGGACCTCGGAACAACGATATCCCCTTTGCTTTCCGCCCTAAAAACGATATCCAACTTGACCCGGTGCCAGATGTGCCGAGCTCTAATAATGAGACAGCAATTGCTTACAATGTAAGCATGTTGATTACTTACAGGCTAATATGCTGGCCAATGAATAATTTCTTTTTTTACACGCGAATACGAAACTTTTTACAATTGAAACAGCTGTTAATCAGCAAAAATTATTTGTTTGCAAAAATGCAAATTGCAAATTCGGCGATCGCAGAGTACTTGTGCCGACATTGTCGGTACCTTCCCCACAACCTATCATTACCTTTCCTAAGCACCGTAAGGGTCATGCCATAAGCACGACCTGCTGTGATATGAGTGTATTATTGCCCAGGTGTTAGTGATACTACTTTACCACGCCTTCAATCCTCAGCATTCTACTACTGCACCCATGCAGGTCGTCTGACTCAATAAAGCTCTAAAGCTAATGTTCTAATAACACAACGGAGCTACCTCACTCCATAGGCGCTATTCCGCCCAAGGCTACAATAAAAGCCACGGAACCGCCACAGTACTCCGGTTATTCTCATTTCAGCCAAGCTGCATTCGTCCTAGTACATGCATCAGCAATCCTCTCGCAATCCGACGTTACACGGGAAAGCAGGTATTTGAAAATAGTGGCTCCCCTCAGCGATTGCCCGTCGATGCTGATTGTTCCGTCGTTTTACTCCCCATATTCTTCGACGTTCAGTCGCAAGCCATACTCGGACAGACGCGTCTTCCATCTCATGGTGGCTCTTTGATCTTGCCTCGATCCACTTGCTAGCTCGACGTCATTCGCGTAGAGGCGTCTACGGGTGCGGCAGTTGGATATTCCTCGTCACGGTGTCTATATCTTATATATAAAGCTGAATGTCTGTTTGTATGTATGTCTGTATGTCTGTCTGTCTGTATGTGTGTACGTATGTTCCGAATAGAAAATTCCATTTCTGAACCGATCCGGACCAAACTTGGCACACATACACTTCGGGCCCCGGCGGGTGTCATAGGCTACTTTTCGTCATCGATCGATATCGATTTTATCGATTTTTATCGATTTTTTTGCTGAGTGCACCTACGGGGCTGGGAGTTGGCATAGGGGGGTAATCGAGCATGGGGATTCCGAATACAATATTGGTTTTCAGGATTATCGATTACTTTTATCGATTTTATCGATTTTTTTGCAAAGTTTGAGCTACGGGGCTGGGAGTTGGCACAGGGGGGTAATCGAGCATGAGGATTCCGAATACAATATTGGTTTTCAGGATTATCGATTACTATTATCGATTTTATCGATTTTTTTGCAAAGTTTGAGCTAGGGGGCTGGGAGTTGGCACAGGGGGGTAATCGAGCATGCTGATCACCCCCAGGAAGGTGATCAGCATGCTCGATTACACTCCTGTGCCAAATTCCAGCCCCCTAGCTCAAATTTTCAAAAAATCGATAAAATCGAAAAAGTAATGGACGATCCTGAAAACTAATATTGTGTTCGTAAACAGCATGCTCGATTACCCCCCTGTGCAAACTCCCAGCCCCGCAGGTCAAACTTTACAAAAAAAATCGATAAAATCGATAAAAGTAATGGACGATCCTGAAAACTAATATTGTGTTCGTAAACAGCATGCTCGATTACCCCCCTGTGCAAACTCCCAGCCCCGCAGGTCAAACTTTACAAAAAAATCGATAAAATCGATAAAAGTAATGGACGATCCTGAAAACTAATGTTGTATTCGGAATCCCCATGCTCGATTACCCCCCTGTGCCAACTCCTAGCCCTGTAGGTGAACTCTGCAAAAAATCGATAAAAATCGGTAAAATCGGCATCGATCGATAACGAAAAGTGGACTGTGACACCCGCCGGGGCCCGAAGTGTATGTGTGCCAAGTTTGGTCCGGATACGGCGGAGCCGGGTAAGCCAGCTAGTACTGTATAAAGAGCAGAGGTGATAACTTCGATCTTTGATGTATTCCTACTTAAATTTGCAAATTCCATTAATATTCCTGCTGCACAGCGTAGGGCTTCCGTCGTGTTCGCATAAAGAAGCTCGATCCAGCTTACGTATGACAGGCTATTTTGCAGTCACTGCGCAATTAAGTTTTTAACATTCTTCCCTCAGATGCCAAACATCGAAAATCTTCTTCTTCCATTTTCAGCTTTGCAATCAGAGCAAAGATAGAAATGGAAAAATTTTTATACATAGAGCTGAATGTCTGTTTGTCTGTCTGTATGTCTGTATGTGTGTACGTATGTTCCGAATAGAAAATTCCATTTTTGAACCGATCCGGACCCTTGGCACGCATACACTTCGGGCCGGGCGGATGTCTTAGGCTACTTTTCGTCTATCGATATCGGTTTTATCGATTTTTGTCAATTTTTTGCAAAGTTTGACCAGCGGGGCTGGAAGTTGGCACAGGGGGTAATCGAGCATGCTGAATACGAATACAAAATGAGTTTTTGAAATTTTTCATAGTTTTATCTATTTTATCGAGTTTTTGCAAAGTTTAAGCTAGAGGGCTGTGAGTTGGCACAAGGGGAGGGAGGGTAATCGAGCATGCTGATTACGAGTACCAATTAGTTCTTAGAATTATCCATTAGTTTAATCGATTTTATCGACTTTTTTTTGTCAATTTTGAGCTGCGGGGCTGGAAATTCACACAGGGATAAGTGAGCATGCTGCTAACAAAGCGGGAATAGGGAGATGTAGTTGGTATGTAGAAGTGGGCACAGGGAAAGGTTGTACAAGGATAGGGAATGAGAGATTTATCGTGTTTTGACAGGGCCGGGCGGAGCCGGGTAAACCGGCCAGTAAGAATAATAATACAAAAATCCTTCCTTGCTATCAAACGAGGGGGCATGAGTAGTGCTGCATTGAGTCTATGCAAGCACATGATTATGTGCAGCCCTGATATATGTTACGCAAGCTTTTTGCACTATCTCTGCATTATTTCTTTCTAGATTAGTCGTCTAGACTGGGCTTAGGATGACGTGGTTCTTTTTTTCTGTTTTTATGCATGACTAACACTTGGTTGTCTTTGTTTCTAACGCCTCGAGCGTACGAGTGAAATGAAATGAGAGGAAGAAGAAATGTAATCAGAAGTGCATGCACTCGTTCTACAAGCATTTTTGCTGGGCAAAATGATCGCGAAAGGTAGAAGTTACAACTTTTGATGCGCGAACTAACTTTCGGTTCAACCTAATATCGGAGATTACTCCAGAAAGCTCCAAGCTAGTAAGTGTAGTCATTTCATCTCATATAAATCTCGGATTCATCGTGTGAGTTTCTAGTGTCTACTGCGCTCACACGGAAGCGGAAGCACTCGCTTCATACACGGAAGCGAGCTATCTCGGGGTGACAAAGAACACTAACAAATCTACATAATCTGTTAACTCACCATGAATCGACAACATTCTCAAGTTGTACTTACATTCTCTGTGCGTAGATATATGTTGTACTTATATTTTTCGTGCATAAAAATATGAGCCGTATAATTCGAGTAGTTAGTCCGCTGTACATATAGAGTGTCTCAACAAGAGTCCCTACTGTTTGATTGTCCATAATTCTCTTGTGCTGGAGCCTTTCGAGAAGCTTTAGGTATATTCTGTAGAGCTGGCTTCAACTTAGATTTGCGGTATGGAGCGGATTACCGACTGCTCTCCGTTAGTGAAGAATTACGAAAGGAACTTTGAAGAGGGTTTTGGATTATGAAAGGCCATATTTTGCCTCAGAAAGGAAACAAACCAACCTGAAAATTCTCACACTGGGCTAATTAGGGTTTGATTTTAAATGTGAAGTTTGCTTCTTATCATAATGCTTCATTTAAAAGTTATGCGCGGTACAGTAGCGGCCGTTTTTTCAATGTTCCTAAAAACTGCAGTTATATTTATTTTATTTATTTATTTATTTATTTACAAAATGCACAATAGGTGCGCACGAGTAAATGTATTACAATAGAGAGATGAGAGAGTATGAGATGATAAGGATAAAGGAAGCCAAAATGTGTAAAAAGTAAACAGCATCAATCCTGTGGTAATCTATCCAAATCAAGATTGGTTAACTTTCTCTTGAACATTTAGGCTTTACTAGATTGTAGAATGTGAGGCAGAAGATGTTGTAACCATCTTGCACCTCTAAAAAACAACATGTTGAAAGTCAGCAAAAATTGCTTTTTATTGATTGGTAGACAATGCAAGTTGAACGATCCAGAGCGTTAATTGGTGGGTATATATCGTTTAAAAAGCTTCGCAATGTTGTACATAATTGCGTGTTGAACTCAGCTTTCATGTGAACCTTATTACACAAAGTTTACTTTTGTTCTGGAAACGCTATATGCGTGAGGTTTCTACCGTAATCCCACAGTAATGGAGAGCGATCGCTAATTCGCCCTATACTGTAAATCTAAGTTGAAGTCAGCCCTACAAAACGATACCTAAAGCTTCTCGAAGGACTTCATTACAAGAGAGTTTTCAACAATCAAACAGTAGGCCATCTTTTTGGGAACCCTGTATATGGAAAATTCGCGGACATTGAGTCAACAACTTTCTTTACCTGTTTTATTTTCGATTATGAAGTCAACTCAATACATTCATTTACAATTTCTGAGCACGTTGTTCAGTAGTACTGTATTCGAAAGATCGCAAAAGTACAAAGCTTCTCAAAAATGTGCTCACTATTTGATCATCAATAGCCCTCTTTCTCCAAAAACTTTTGCACAGCTTCACGCACCATCTGAAGATGTGGTTTCAGTTACATTTTCCTAAACAAATTAATCAAACACGAATACGCTCTTTACTGGTGCTTAAATGCGCTAATGAATCGACGCGATGCTTCATTGCAAATCAGCCGTTATCTTAGAAAAGTCTAGAAATCATCTAACAACAACTAACTTCAGTCGTAAGCTTGGTACAGATTTGTGACAGTTCACATAGTTTGCTTATATTGGTTTGCGATTGTGGAAAAACGCTGTTATGGTCGTTACTCCAAAGAGGTTGAGTACAATGTCCGTTATGTTTAGTCAGCGATCTAAACGTATTGTGAAAGTTTTCAGTTCTCGGGATTTTCTCGAATGTTCTGGCTGCCATTAGCGCAATAGTTTTTAAAAATATTTACTCAGATTCAAAGAATAAAAGACGATCAGTGTCCTTTGCGCTAATTAAATCAAAGTTAGTTTAACAACATGGTATTCGGTGTTCGAAAGACTTTGTAACAAGAGCATTAACAATGACGAAGAACGTGCACATCTTTTAGGCAAACTGTACTATTGAGTCGAGCTCTCTGAAACCGTAGATTCATTAAGCACGATTTTTCCGACAAAAGCAAATCAAGGTCTGCTTTATAGATGGCATTAGCATAGAGATGCTTCGAAATTTGAATAAGACTCTTATCCTCGTCTTTGACTCAATTTTTCATATAAGATACTTCGCAGACTCAAAGTTGGGTCTGTGAAATTACTAGTTGTAGTGTAAAGCCAAAAGCTTGAGCTCTTTAAATTTCACTGACTATACAGCTTTCTTCCAAAATAAAATTACTAAGTATTTGAAAAAAAAAGTTTTACGACCTTTCTTCCTTACTCGGGAAATCAGGAGATCCGTAGATTCTTTTGCTTCATCTGTGCAGGAACGAAACCGAGTTTCGTAATTGTTTATCAATAAAAAACTTCCATGATTTCTTGTCATTATTGCAGCAAACAGTTGTCCTGGACATTCCGAGGGGTATGCTGCCTAGACCAGTACAAGAGAAGAATGTCAAATTTTAATTTTGATTGCGTTACTGCTTGCAGAGTTCTCAAGCTTTTTCTTCTGATAATATACCAGTATTCGCTAGGTAAACTTCAAAAAAGTTTTGCTTTAAAGATGATTATGTCAAGGATTATAATTGCAGGTTGAAGCGATTATGCGAAATGACAGGACTCTTCAGTGACATACTTCTTTTTATTTGGAAGTACAGCCAATAACAGCAACGCACTCTCGTTTATTCATGCGATTTACCTCGTTTTTACACCGGGAAATAAGGCATGATTAGTATGATTGGCAAGGGAACCGGCTTGTAAGTATTCAGTGATTAAACCCGCAAAAATTGACGAATTAGTCGTGGAAAACGATGTTGCAATCCTTTGGACACACTGTTAGCGATTCTGGTCTTGTTGTATGTGCTGCGATCTCGTCCCCGTTCAAGTCTCCTTCCTTTATGAACTGAAACACACAGATCATGCAAGCATGGGTTTTCAAGAGGATGCCATAATTAGCAAATCAGAAAGAGTTAATTTGTTGAAAACGGGAGAAAGTGTCTTGAAAGGTGCTTGAATAATGATAAGTGGAAGGGGAACTAGTGCAGTTAATTGAGATCCTCATAATGATGAAACAAAATACAGTATGCGTTCCCATTTTGATGTAGATCTTAGAGGGTACATCTTAGTAGAATCTTGAGCATCGAGCAGGACAGGAGACAAGTAAACGACATTGCCTCTAATCAATCGTAAACTTCAGTTCAAAACGATTTCAGAACAGCCCCATGTGACAATGGTCAATCTGCTATGGCATGATAGTATAGCCGGTATTGAAGTCTTTGAGAAGTCAATGTGCGGTTGTCAAGGGACAAGATTTTGCAGCATTTTTTGATGGGAACACTAAAAATAGTTCACAACGTATCTGGACAATTTTTGCGACATTTATTTGAACTAGAAAGCATTTAATGGTTCTAGAGAATTTAAAGGTTTTTAACATCGAATATGATAGTGTTTGATACTACGTAATGTGATCATTTCAAGCTTCATTACATCTCACGTGAAGATGGTTATGATAGCCGCAGCTTTGCCGGTAATTTGTAATTTTGAAAAAATTTTGAAGGCAGCAACGCGAATGAGGTAGTAGAATTTTATTAAAAAATAATAGAGCCAATGATCAATCATTTGTCCAAAGTCAGTTTGGTGACATCTTCGGGACATGTCAGTTCATGAGGTTCATTCTCAATTTTGAACTCAACTGTCGCGAGTACTCGAGAAGGATACTATATTGAACGAAGGTTTAGAAGGCATATCACTTAGACCTTGGATAATGGCTCGCTTAGGACTTAGCACTCAATCAATTCTCAAATAACACGAGGCTCGGATGCTCACAAGGGAATGGTCAAAAATCGAAGTGGCTACTTCAAGCAAGCTGCATATTATCAGAAGCAGTATAAAAATGCTGACTCTAAATTTGCCTTCCTTATCTGTAAAACGCTTTTGTGGATGAAGTTATAAGCCGTAAAAGACCCCTATTTTGCACAGAAATCGTCCGTATAAAGTGCAAATTTGGCCGTACGCAGCCATGCTTTGCTTAATGCTGGACCAAAACATGCAGCTAGGTTATTTCATGTGGCCCATACCTAAAGGTTAGCCTAAGATCTCAATAATGTGCTTAATTTCGCAGTTTTTATGTACGATTTTTTCGCAGATGAACTGCTCATAACTTCACCTACAAAGGAGTTCCGCAGATAATGAAGACAGATTTGAAGTAGGGTTCTATGTTGCATCGAATGGGATGCAGCTTGTTTGGAATGGAATTCGACTTCTGACCATTTCCTTGTCAGATTCACCTGAACCCTGCTTTCAAAGAACTGAGCTCTCTAGCTATTTGAAGCCGAATGAGTCCACAACCATTGCAAAAAATTGACGGATGTTATGGAAATCAATGTGAAGTCATTGCTTCATTGTTTACTTATCTGTTTATCGTCCACTGCCGACATCTAACTAACCCGGTTTACACGGATAAACAACTCACACTCCATTTCTGGCACTGTTCCAGATTGTGTCCCCTAGCACCATGGTCGCCGAGTGGTCTAGCGAATCGGAACGTCAGTTGATTACCTGCTAGTTCACTTATAAGATCTAGATGAATAACATTGTCTGAATCTTACTATTGAAGCTGAGCAACTGAGGAGAAACATTTGCGGCGTTGTCCAGTGTTGGGGCCTCCCAGCCCGTTGTTTGACCAGTTACCAATTCTGGCTTGTTGTTCTGGATCTTGACGAGCACAACTTCTAAGTCTGTCTGGAATACTGCCCATAGAGCTCTGAATGGCAAGAAAATCAAGCAAAAAAGCAAATTGAGGTGTAATCTCTATGAGCTTATCTAAATTTGCAAAGATGGGATCCTAGGAGTGAAATATATTAGGTTGGCAAGTGATGCAACTTTCTATATAACTCTTGTCTTTTTGAACGTGGCGCTTTAATTTTCAGGCAATATAAGGATTACGATGTGAACTACAAATGCAGACATTTTTGCCGAATTTTGTCACCTTATGTAAAGATTTTGCTGAAACTTGGCCTATGGGGGTTATTCGACATGCTGACATAAAATGAGACCGTTTCGCATGAAAAGGCCTCTTTCGTAAGGTCGTAAAATGAGTTTTTATCTTAACTACAAATGAAATTGATATTCGTGTTCACCATGTGGTACTCTATTATGCAAAATTCTAGCGAATTCTGAGATTTCGTAGCTTAGATACTGACAATGGCCCCTAAATTTGATGCATTTGACTTGTTCTTCTCAAAGGCGCCCTATCTTGATTAGTCTTTAAACTTACTTTTTTTACTGATTATAATATGTTAACCTTCAGTTACATGTTGCCTATAATTCCTTTTCGAATGTTTGATTCAAGTTTTGTACAGCTTCATGTTTGCGGAAAAACCGTGAGATTTCTCTTTCTAACAGTTCTCGAAGAATGCTTAAAATTTCCTTGCGCAGACTTGCAGCTTACATCAAAGTCTACTTGATGACGAAGAGAATGAAAGTGTAAGCCAGAGAATGAAAGTGCTACATTAGATAAGGAAAAAGTTATGGCAAAAGTTGCCAAACTTATTGCCAACCTAATAATAAAGCGCTTCTGAAGGTTTTGACATACATAAAGGTCAAAGAAAATGAGACAGATCTCACGAGATATTTGGTACAATTACAGTATATTACAATTTTGAATGACGATATCGAGCAAGCAAACATTGCGGATTTCACAGATTTCTTACAGCGCAAACATTTGCGCTCTAACATTCAAAAAATGGGTTTTTGATCACATTCGTGTACAGGGCTTGGCACGAGGGGGCCTTTGGAGAATGCAAAAAACGAAGTCCCTTTGACTTTCCCAAATTCAACGAAGTCCCCTTTGACCCTAAACCGTAATCCTAGAAAATCTCCAAAAAAAAACGAAACGTCGACTTAAAAAAAACGTCGCAAGTTTTGTGTCTTTTCTGCCACGAAAACGACACCCCCTTTACTTATTGTTCCAAAAACGATATCCAGATTGCTTACCAAGCCACCTGTGCCGAGCCCTGTTCGTGTATGAAACGCAAAGACCAAAATTGCTGATGTGCTTACATAAGAAGTTTAAAGTTTTGTGCATGAAGGGCATCTCACCATATTAGGTCCAAAGGCAAGACCCGTCCAAACGTTGTCCCCAATATTTTTGTTCACGAACTCTATTGTGATCTTGTCGTCGACTACCTAAAAAAGTAGCACTTTGTCAGAAGCTAATAGGACAATGCCTCTTACCTGCCATCGAGCGCTAATGTCTGTTCCATTGTAATGACACTGAGAAACAGCGTTTGCAACGAAAGACAGGGCCACGAGAGCTCGGAACATCTAAAATGCGTTAAAATTGAATATGACAAGGCTGGCAGTTATAATTGTCGTTTGTCGGTCAGGTTAGTGATTGCATGTAGGCTGTAAAGTTTTGCGCGACCCCGTTTGGACTAGAATACCACCAAGTAACCAATGATATATGGGCGGGACCTTTCGGCAAATATCTGTGACGAGAGGTGAACTTGAACGAAGTGGGTGATTGCCAATGTTTGACAATGACGAACTCGATCACGCGACTGAGGTAAAACTCAAACTGCGTTCGATCTCTGCACCTGTTCCTTATGTACTTGACATAATGGGTGGAGCAATTGATGCTACTTTTAACCACTACTAAGAAGGGTTAAGACACCTTTGTTGAAGCTCAAAGGAATGACACTGTTTTGATGATGTCGAGCGAAGCGTCATACATCCGTAGCCTGAGCTGCAACTCGAATGTCGCCTCGATTCTTTCTCAACTTACCCTCGCAATGAACACAACCACTTTATCAGCGAAATCTTGTGCCCCAAAATTATAGCCTGCACACTAGATCTGTGGAGATCTTCTCTACTGTGTACGTCAAGCTCAAGTATAGATGATATTTGATGCCAAAATATAAAAGATTTCGAAACTCAAGAAATCAGGTCTCCTTTCAAAACGCTTCTGCGAACCTCCGACTTACCTAGCATAGGCCCACATCAGCATTCTCACATATACATGTGAGAATGCTGTATTTTTTCAATGGCTGGAAGTCGGGAAAGGAAAACTGGCGGTTTTTGCCAAAGTAATGTTGGGTTGTGCACATACGTAATTTTATGCTACATATTATAACGACTACTTTTAATCTTCTAGAAGAGTTTTTTAAGTCAACAACACTAGCATGAAAAATCGTGGAGACAGCTTGATTTTTGGTCTATTTCTCTTACTAATCGTAGGAAAAATTTAGTAACTGCACATCAAGGTGTCTAATGTAGTGAATGTATTAGGTTGGTGCAAAAGTTTTGTCAGTTTTTTCAATCCATTGGCAAACACTCTAGAATAAAGATAGACAAACACTTCAAAACGTATCCGATGCGGAATTTCTTCCTCTTTCCAGCTGCCAAATCCCATTGTGTAAGTCACCATTCGATGCGACTTTTTCTCCTCATTCTAGCACTTGTATTTTTTTGCCGAGACAGGCGAAAATTATGGGAAAATCGCAGTATTTCTCAATTTCAGGAGTGCGCACTGACGTCACCTATGTCAAAATCTTCATAATTTGAAGCGGAAATAATTGTAGCGGTAGTAACAATCGAGTGTTGAAACCTCAGTATTCTGTAGGTTCTGCTTTGGTGTAATAACAGGTTATGCGATTTCTCCACAACACAAGACGTTTAGAAAATTATTTAGCAAAGATCTGAAAAGCCTGAAAAGAGAAAAAAATTGCATAGGTTGGCAAAAGGTTTGCTTTATCTGGTAAGTAATCAGGACTCCATCAAAAGTCTCATGCAAAAAATTCTGAAAATTAGTGAAAATTGGACATGGTAAAAACTAATGCTTGCAATTTCCAGCGAATATCTCATCGCTTTTTCAACGAAACAGAATGTGAGTTCGACAGCTGGAAAGAGGAATAAATTTTGCATCGGATACATTTTAAAATATTTGTTTATCTTCATTCTAACGTGTTTGCCGGTGGATTGAAAAAACTGACAAAACTTTTGCACCGACCTAATATTTGTGAGCAGGTGGATGTCCTTAAATCATGGACGGAGATCCGATTGCTGGATATTTGAGATTTTGAAATTTTTGCTTCAAAATCAAAAACCTAAAACAAGCCTTTCGCCTTTGATTGGACGCAATTTTGTGAGCTTACTTTTTTGATTTGAAATTCTGTTTTTCACGTTTATTCGTCTTCCATACGGTGTTAGCGCAAGAAATATGTATCACCTTGATTGACTACGTATATGGATGCACAACATTGTTGAGGATTGGTTGAAAAGTCTCAAAAGCTCCATCGTTGCCATGTTGCTAAGGTAGTGTGCTGCTTTAGTCCCAAATATACGTTTGGAATGACTTAATTTGCTTTATATCCACCTTTTTCCACAGCGCCTCTAACAGGCTTTTTCAGAGAACTGGAAAAATGCAAACACATCCTCGATGACAAACAATCATAGGTACTTTGCGCTGTACTGTTATCTCAGGGTTGCAACAAAGGCAGCAGGCAGGCTGATTAGAGAAGAGTCTTGATTAGCACTAATGACACCACTCTTTTCTTTCCTAAAGTGGTTTGCAATTTTAACAAGTATAGAAACAAGTACAAAGACCTTGCAACTTCCTACCTGTACATTAGACTTTTCGAGTGCTTCAAAAACAGCTTTGCAGAGTGTGCAATGCTGCGAAACGACAAAAAAGATGTTGCCATACATCTTTGTTCGTTTCGCTTTCCATTTCTAAAAAGGCTTTGACCTTGGTGCGCATAGGAGAACAAGTTCGAGACGATAAGGCGATCAGCAAATGACCTATTTTTTTCTGACTATGCTGCTGCATTTTTGAGCCACATTTCTGTGAAAACGTATCCTTGCAATGGCCAAAAGATTTTCTAGATTTCACAGAGGTGCTAGAGAGTTAATTCGCAAGTTACTGATTGTTAGGTCACTTACAAAATACTTACGGTGGGTTACAAGTTACTTACTTTGGCCAAGGGCGTACCAATGACCATGAAAGTGCATATTAGAAAACGAAATCCCTTTCATCGATCACTAAGCTTAAGAAGACATAACAATTAGATTACTTACGTTTTGGTCAAAGCCTGGACGCGAAAAATCGACATACCATCTGCATTTACAACCAAGCTTCGATGGGTTCGGGAGCCCATACCGGTATTGAAAATAGCTAACCCAGGCCTTGTGGGTTTCAAAATTTTTGTGAGTTTGCTTTACTCAAGCGTGCAACAAAGATTGGAACACTTTACAGTGAAATCTAGCCATTCTCTCCTATTGTAGATTCCTTGAGGCTGCTTCGTCTGCTGGCAAGTTCAATATATAGAATGCCCCCAAAACTGTACACATTTGATTTTCATTATCTCTCTTGTTAATATCTTTCGGCGCTCTCAAGCTACCGATAACTTGAACATTTCCAGAAAATTGGAAGGCTTAGCACGATTTTTGCTCATGCTTATTTCACTATACGAATTTTTACGAGTTTTCACAGCTTTTCAAATGATCTAATCACATTTTGAGGATGATCGAGCAGTCGTCATTAAACCTGGCGTAACTCTCATTAGCCAAACATGAAAATTTAGCCTGTTTGGTTTAGATGACGCGTGGTCCTTAATGGCTCAAAACCCTCCTCAATGTCCCTACTGTAATACTGTAGCAACAACGAGGGGCGGTAGCTGGCTGGCTACATCATAGCTGGCTTCATCTGTAGATCTAAGTTGGGCTCTGAAGAAAGTACCTGAGATCGGCGAAAGACTGCAGCAAATGAGTTAATAACGAGGAAATAGTGTGCACATTCGTTTTTCTTTGCTGGAAAATTTGGAGAATACTTTTCCAATAAAGGCGTGCCTAAGTACAAAAATTAGAACAATGAGGCAAACATTCGGTGCCACATCTTCAAGAATGGCTTGTTAAATACACTCCAATGTGTTCGGTGTATGTATGCATTCCTTGTAGTCAATTCACTCACAAAAAGTGGATACTTGATGAAAGTGGCACTTCTATGCAAGATGAAGATATTATAGAGCATAGAATACCGATTTCAAATGTACTTTGGTTATCTGCAAAGCGCCTCTGTGAGGGTAGTTGTGGAAATTGATGGAAAAATTCTGAAAGCGCCGCTACAATAAATCATTCAGAACCTTAGTCCGTGAGCTCGATTGGGGCCATGATTACTACCATGGCGTTGTACGGAATAAAGACCTTTCTTATAAACTCATGTCATTCATTACTCCCTTCAAGCGGCGGAAAGACCTCAGCACCTACTTTTATCTTAGTCAAATCATCAAATTTTTACCTTTAGAATTCCCGAAACTCCCGCCCAGGATTACTTTGCAGATAGGGAAAGTAAATCTAGAATAAGTATTTCGTGCTTTATAAGATAGTATACATTTTATATGGGAACGCCATTTCGACCCTTCCATTGTCGGAATCACGCCAATTAATCATTCCCAAGCTGGTTTTAAAAACACTTTGAGCATCAAAACCCCAGTAACTTCACACTTTTGACCGCCCACAGCTTCTAAAGAACCGTTTAGCAGATTGGAAGGTAGATATGGAATCAGCACTAAGACGCATGCAATGATACGCATATCATTTCGGTTTGCCACTGCGACCTGGTATCCTTCCCTGGTCAGAATCATTTTCCAGATCCTACCACAACAGGAAATCATTTAGGCTGAGCATCCATCTGCAAGTATCTGTGAATATTTGCTCTCATGTTCCGCAAAAATTTCTTGTGCTTGTATCGATATGCCGTTCATAGGTTTTGACGGCTAACTCTGAGTGTTCACCACGTTTATTACGTTTACCTCCTCCTCCCACAACCAAGTCTGGGCAACCTCATACATTTGCAAAATTGATGAATCAATCAAATATTATTCAAGTATTTTATTCGTCTGTCTGTCCCAATCATGAAAAGGCTGAGAGAATGGCTTGAAATAGCACGCTTGAAATGCTAGAATTGCGCTCCATATCAAGCGGTATGTTCGCTGGTAAGGACGATAACGTAATTTTTGGCCTGATTCGGATTGCGACAGACTGAACCATCTATTTTCTCGCGCTCAATGGTGGCGAACGTCTAAATTCGTTAGGGTTTGATTTCCATCGCATGACTTTGTAAGCTACTCTGCTACCAAAGTGTTGGGAAAAATGAAGCCTTTGAGGTATTCACTCGCACGACCGAGTCCATCAATAAGTTCGCAAAGTAACGTGGAATTACCATTTCAACATACGATACATCAATATATAGTCTTTACAATATAGTAAAAGTAAATATATAAGGTGGTTCCGAAAGATCTTTTCGTTTTTTCGATCATGAAAACACTTGGGATAAAGATGAGCAAACATTTCAAAAACTATTCGACGCAATTTCTCTTCCTCTTTTCAGTATTCTTGTTTTGGAACCATTTCCTCACGTGATTGCCAAGATGATCGAGAAGTTTTAAACCCCATGGTTCTTACCATGACCGAGTTTGACGATTTTTCACATTCTTCGTTTTGAACTTCTGGAAGAGTTTATTTAGCCGCTATAGAGCAAACAAAGTGCATCACCACGAATAATTTTGGAATCTCCAGCCTGGTTTTTCAAAATTACCTGAACTATTTTTCTGATGTCTGTACCAGCGGTTTGCAAACACGTCCAACCAGTCGTCTAGGTTGAACGGTCTGCAATAGGTGCAAGTTTGCAACATTTTGAGCAAGATATTGTAGGCTTCTGGTATCCGGTTTTCAATGATTATTCGTTTGTGGTATTGTGGTCATGAAAATTCTGGAATTTTTAGCTTAACTTTCCGAACACCAAGTGTGTACGGGGGCCACAAAGCGGTAAGCGATTCTGCACGAAGCGATAAGCGATTCTTTCATGTACATCATACCAATAAGCTGACACATCTTTTTTCTGTAGGTCCGCCCTGGACCTCGCAAACACAGTATCCTCTTTGCTTTACCCAAATGCTATCTAGCCTGTTCCACGAATTGCCTGTGGAAAGTCCTTCTCCTGTAGACGTCACTGCCCTTCGCTGGCTAATCCGGCGGGGGCGCTCATGACTACAGATTCAGTGCGCGACTTTTAAATTGCTAATCCTAAAGCTCAGATGGGTTTGTCAATCGGGTTCACTATAATGAAGACTGCCCCACTGGAGTCAAATCTGGCTTCAATTCAGGGCAAAAGATATCGTAAAACAGAGATACGACCAACTTTAGTAGATGTTGTCGCAGCTAAGCTAAGAGCTTGTTACTCAACCTTTATTAGGCTTACGTTTCGGCGTCTCTGCCTTCTTCAGAGCCTGTAAGGACGATGATATTTGTAATCTATCCCTCCAAATGCTCTATCTCCACCACATCGGCACAACCCAATAGCCGACGGAGCCAGAAACAAACGAGAGACGCGAAACAGTTAGCGCTTACCTTATAGCCTTGCAGTCAAGAGTAGGCTACCACCCACAGTAAACCCCAAACAATAGCTATAGCAAAATAGCAAAACTCTTGAGGCCTTTTGGATTGCATCGCGAAATCCAAAATTTGATAGAAAGGAAGAATGCGTTGCCGTTACAAACGAGCTAGCACCGTTCCAGACCCTTTGTGGGTTTTGACCTACTGGATCGGGGTCGGGTCAAGGCGGGGAGTGATTTGAATATATCAGAATCATAGCGGCGACGCTTCACTGTGGGTGGTCGCCTACTCTTGACTGCAAGGCTATAAGGTAAGCGCTAACTGTTTCGCGTCTCTCGTTTGTTTCTGGCTCTGTCGGCTATTGGGTTGTGCCGATGTGGTGGAGATAGAGCATTCGGAGGAATAGATTACAAATATCATCGTCCTTACAGGCTCTGAAGAAGGCGGAGACGCCGAAACGTAAGCCTAATAAAGGTTGAGTAACAGTCGGCTTAGCTGCAACAACATCTACTAAAGTTGATCAAGACATGCCAAGATTCATTGACGGTCGGACTTGGAATTTAATCGAATCTGTACCAGAGATACGATCGGCTTTCAAATTGGTATAGAGGCCTAATGCGGACTTGTTCTGATAAACTAACATTGAAAAAATAACAGTGAAAGCACTGTTCACAAAGAAAAAACTTTGCGTGGTTCAGATACATAAGCAGTGGGTCCAATTTCTGGTTTTGAATTGTATTCTTGTGAAGGAACTGCAGCGATAAGGGGATCTCCACTACAACGACATTTAAATTCTTTGTTTCCACCTTTCCAAGCTAGATTAGCCTGCCAAGTAATGTGTGGATGTTGCTGAATAGGAATTTGCAACAAATTTTATAGGGTTAGCTGGCGCAATCTAACACCAAACTCAAAACTGCAAAGTTTGAAGGAAACGCCACTTTCGAAAGTATCATCCTTAAAGACTAGCAAAAAGTTACTGGAGAGCAAACCTTTTGATATACTTAGGAAAAATACCCTCCCTTACCAGAACGTATAAATATTATCGATCACTTCGTTATTGTAGAATTATGGTAGTCATCCAGCGCAATTGCGTCATTGCAAATCGGCTGTCATTTCAAATAAAAATTCCAAAACTAAAGGACTAATAAAATCTTGGTTGTCGCTGAAACAGCATACACGAATATTCACCATGCCAAGATTCAGAAACTGCCGAACATGGAATAATTCCAAAACTTCTGTTTTAGGGTTTTTGATCTAATTTAGTAGCTGATTATTATTTTAATAAATACTTTTGTACATGAATGCGCGACAATCCAGGTAGCATAATCAAACTTTCGTCAATTTTCGAAAAAATCGCTGCCATGGTATTCTGTCCTTGCCTCAAAGCTAGAGATTACGGTGAAGCGGAAAGCTTATCATTAGCAGTGCCAATTAACCGGATAACAAATTAAGCTCTCATAAATGATTTCTTTCGGGCGGTACCCTATGATTCAACGGGGTTGGCGGGAGAAGGCGACCACTTGCACCCGCGACGCAGTTTGCATCTCTATCGCGAGTGCGCTCTCTAATCATTGTCTAGTCTTGATTAAGCCTCGAAGCTTCGCCTCCAGCCACCAATCCTGTTGAATCAAAGGGTTATGCTCTCAGTAAACGAAACTCTTCCAAAAATCCTTACAGTAATCCTACAGCAGTAAAGACGGATTGGTGACACGCTTCCCAATGTAGATTTAAGTTAGCCAACCTTACAGTGGGATACCTAAGATGAACTAAAGCCATCCAGACAAAAGAGTTACTGATCAAAGATTTGATATATTTCTTGAGAACCCCTGTAGAAATGCTTCTGTGCAGTAACCCCTTCTGATTTTGCCGATTATCAAGTTTCAGTGCACGACAGAAAACCGAAAAGATCTGTATGATACCTAACAACATTGCGGAATAAAAATGTAGGCATGCAAGTGGCTTCCACTTTACACCTGTTATATAAAAACTTTTCTTTCATCTTTTTGCATGATCCTTGAAAAAGCAGTTCATTTTCACTAGAAAAGACTTCGTAAATTCTTCTTGAAACACAGGAAACTTCATTCAGAGAAAACATAGAAGACGACATGCCTCACTCTGATTCAGCTTACATGAAACCTTACGAGTTGTGATGCTGACGACGGGTTTTGTTATGATCAGTTCCCGTAACCGCATTTCTTTCCTTTTCTCTACAGAAATGCTTTTTTCTTATCTACGCTAGCTTTTCAATTTTTGAAGCGGCTACGCTAAGCCTACAGTCATAGTCGTCTTAGCGATTGAAGGCAGTGTCTCACCAATATTTAGTTGCCGAGATTTTTGCATTTTGCAAGCCTGTCGGACCTTGTCTAACACTGTTGGGCTTGAAATCGCATGAAGTTCCCAAAAACCCCGTTTTCTGGAGGCTGGAAGCAACGTGGACGAGTTGTACCTTCCAACTTCAGCCTCAGCCACAGTGGCAGCGACAGAGAGGGAGGTGGATGCCAAGAGGAGGGACATGTTCATACGCGTAAGGGGGAGACCGGAGAAATCGCCCGCGAGTACCGAATCGCTCTCCGCGTACCACTTTGAGCAAATTTTTCCCAGTGAAGGTGGTCAAATTGAGTGAGACTTGTTGCAATGGCCTATTTAGAGGTCCCTATAATAGAATATGTAAAGATCCACGCGACCTCAACTTTGGTGAGACACTGCCTTCAAGGGCATGCGACGTTTGAAAGGGTGCAAGCACACATTTTGCTTGCCAGGTTCATGCGGATTCTATGATTCTGTATAAGTAAAGAGCAAGCTGAAACTCAAAAATATATCCTGTCACAGTTTTAAACGATTTCATTTCCGAGATTCAATTGCCATGCCTCGCCCATCCTTGATGTCAGGTTCAAAAGTTTTTTTTAACTATTGATAGACGACTCTCAGACGATCAAATTGGAGATACCGCGGAAAGAGCTGGGAAACTCTCGACAGATGTCGTTTCATCTATGAGTTGATTTTGAAAAGTTACCTGTCAATTCTCGTCAAATCAACAGCTTCCTTCCGAAGGAGTTCATGGTAAGGACTCGAGATACTTCTGACTTTCTGAGCTACTGCTCTGTTTGAGTGGAAGCAGAGCGGATTTAATTTGTCTGCTTGTATTAATGAATGATTGAGGCCTTTTTTCAATGGAATCTGAGTCCTAACCGGCCCTGTCTTTATCAGTTTTCTTCAACATTGGATACTTTTTATTTTTCTTCAGTCATCAAACTTTAACTTTCTTTATTTTTTCCGCTATGTTCTTTAGTGATCTGATGATTTCTGGTAAAGAATACTGGACGGATTTCGAATGTTCTTTCCTCTGGAACACACATACAAGCCTTCTTATACGAAATCTATCCCGCGTGTATAAACTGCATCCATACAGAGATTTAGCCTGAAATACATGTAATACGAAGTCCGCCTGTTGAGCAATAATGGGATTGGTTACAGAAATTAGGAGTTCGGAGCAAATATACAGTGACCGCCAAAAAGTTGCGGACAAACCCCTCTCCCTTTTTCATCGCTTTTTTTCAGAGGGAAAACAAGGATGAAAAAGTGTAATGATTGCATGAGGTGATAGAGCTCTTCAAAATCTACAATCTACACTTTGAGTTTTTTGAGAAACTTCTGTTCTAAAAATTTTTAGAACCTTTTTCTAAAAAAAGTCCGAAAAATGGCCGCGTCACAATGTCGCGGACAATTCTTCGAACGCAAAAATTTTCTTTTGAGTCCTATTTTGAAGCGGAAACACAAGTTATCCGGAGGGGAAAGCATACTACTATACAGAGCTTGTCAAGAACTACACACTGATTATGGTTGCTTCCCCAAAAAACGCAAGCTTGAGTTTTATTGTAGTTTTTTCAAAAAACAACTTCTAATTTCCTTTATCAAGCCAAATTTCTTCACACGGAAACCTTTCAAGACATTCCAACATGGCCGTCTGGATAAAATAGATGCTCTTTGCCATCCTCTATGCATCGGACGTGTGCTGATGAGTTTCTTGGCTGAAAACTTTGGCAATGCTTGCACATGACCCCACCTGCACCTCACCACTGACTTGTACCGCTTTGCAGGCTTGTAACTCGGCCAGCAGTCAACATTTGAGCTTGCAGTTAGGCTCATTCGAAAGAACGAGACTTCCTCTACACGATGGTTTGCAAACGAGTTGAGTGTGAGAAATTTCAGAGATTTGGCGGATGGGGCGAAAAAGTGCAGCCTTAGAGGTGATTGGAGTGAAAGCTCTTATGAACACCAGAACAGCCTTAGAGCTTCGAAGTGGATCTATTACAAGAAAATTGACAGTTTTGAACTTCCAGGATGAAATTGGTAGCGAAAGGAGCTCTTTTCAACTTCAGCTGGAAAGTGCTACTGCAACTGAAGGTGCCCTCTACCACCCCATCCGCCAAATCTCTGAAATTTCTCAAACTCAACTCATTTGCATACCATCGTGTAGAGGAAGTCTCGTTCTTTCGAATGAGCCTAATTGCAGGCTCAAAAATTGACTGCAGGCCGAGTTACAAGTTTGGCGGTACAAGTCAGTGGTGAGGTGCAGGTGGGGTCATGTGCAAGCACTGCCAAAGGCCATTTTCAGCCAAGAAACTCATCAGCACACGTCCGATGCATAGAGGATGGCAAAGAGCATCTATTTTATCCAGACGGCCTTGTTGGAATGTCTTGAAAGGTTTCCGTGTGAAGAAATTTGGCTTGATAAAGGAAATTAGAAGTTGTTCTTTGAAAAAACTACAATAAAACTCAAGCTTGCGTTTTTTGGGGAAGCAACCATAATCAGTGTGTAGTTCTTGACAAGCTCTGTATAGTAGTATGCTTTCCCCTCCGGATAACTTGTGTTTCCGCTTCAAAATAGGACTCAAAAGAAAATTTTTGCGTTCGAAGAATTATTGTCCGCGACATTGTGACGCGGCCATTTTTCGGACTTTTTTTAGAAAAAGGTTCTAAAAATTTTTAGAACAGATGTTTCTCAAAAAACTCAAAGTGTAGATTGTAGATTTTGAAGAGCTCTATCACTTCATGCAATCATTACATTTTTTCATCCTTGTTTTCCCTCTGAAAAAGAGCGATGAAAAAGGGAGGGAGGCTTGACCGCAACTTTTTGGCGGTCACTGTATATGTGTCACGAGATTATTTACATAGTACTAGTTTTTCACAAAAATATAAGAGCTCTCACAAATTCATAGAAGAACAAGTCATTCAAGCTATCTTTGACAACCATTGCACAAAATTGAAAAGTTTCAAGAAAAACTGCAGGGCGTGGCTAAATTTGAAGCTTTTCTTTACTTCCAAAAAATTCTGAAACCTGTTCATTGTTTCACATCTACAAACTCATAAAAGCAATCTGTTATCTCATTCTGAAAATTTTTTTGCAACATTGCAGTTATTGTATAATATATGAAATAAGTTAGAATCCGCCTCACCATAATTAGAGACATCATGTTTTTCTTCACAGCTTTGTGGACGATCTTCACCAATGGCGTATCGATACTACATGAACAATGCACCTGACAAAGTACAACAAGGATCACACAAGGTGTCCCACCAACCTCAACTTAACCACAACACAAGATCGACGTCGATCGACATGAGAGTAATTGTGATTGGGATGATCGTGAGTGTAGAGGTAAGCTTGATAAGCGCAACGCATAGCGCGTCTCACATATCTACAGCTGCGTTTCTGAAAATTCGAAATAAATTTCGTCACCGTGGAATGTATAATTTCCTTTTTTTGCCAATTCTCTGACATTCAGCGCCTCCCACAGTCGGGTAGATTTTGAGCTCAATATAGTGTGCTTGCACTGCAAGTAACATGCGGTCAAATTTGCGTGTGAACAAAAAGCTGTAACTGTGACGCCGGCCAATTGCGCGCATAATGCAGGCATTACTGGCGTGGCCATTTGTTCACGCGCAAATCTTAAAGAATTCTACTTGCAGTGCAAGCACACTATATTAAGCGAAAAATCTACTCGACTGGATGTTGTTGGTTGCCTGTGCGAGCAGTTTAAGAAGGAAGTAGGAGATAACACAAACCAAAACGGTGTCAAGTCTCATCATCCTCAGAACAGTTTGAAAGCCGTATTCTACTGCTTTATTCCAAGTCCTATTCAACTTATTCCTCGGGTGACATTTATCATAGCGTGCGAGAATTAGAACAGGCAGAAGCTGAATTATCAAATGAACAATTTTACCTTAAATATAAATAGCAAAATTTACCGCGAAAACTGCAAACGCTATCATCCAATGAGACTGAGATGTTTTGACATGCATCGAAGTATGCTTTATAGTGAGATATCATAACAAGCGCAACAATTCTTGCGAGAACAATTGACGGAATATCAGAGATAATGGTTTTGTACTCTGCGATTATTAATCCTAGCTTTGCAGCATGTAATCGATTGCAGTCTATGGATAACTTAGGAAAACAAGCGTTCCAAGCTTGAAAGTTTTGTACTTATTTGAAATCGCCGAATTTCATTCTGAAAATGGTGCTCGACTGAATAGATGCCTGCCCACGTTTTCAAAACGAATATCGAAGCTCACTCACAGCCAGCTATGCAAGTTGCTTTCCTCATTTACACCTTGAACTAAAACTTCAAAAAATAAAAAAACGCCTCCTACAACTCAGCTAAACCCATGGTTCAGAACTTTCCATCACAATCTTCACGTGAACTTAAAATTGCGAGAGATAGATTGATTATACACAACTCGAAAAAAAAATTTCCGACCAGAAGAAACATGTGTCTCTGAAGAACTTACAGAGAAGCAGTAGACAAATTTGTCTATGCGAGCGCTTTCAAGTATACTACCGAATTCGTTTCACTCCTGTGACTCCATTGCAAAACTTCCCCAATTGTTATGCGTGATTTTTTTTCTTAAGAACAGAAAAAGCAATAAGACTTTACCTCGCGAGTTGGTGCGCGACGTGAATTTTCTACATGAAATAAAGGCGCTAGTCATTCTGAAAGCCTTGTCTCTGAAAAGAAAATCTACAAGACTACAACTTGTAAGCGACGTACGCAGCGTTCGCACACGAAGGCCTAAGGCATACTTCACGGGATTCCAGTCGCTGCGCGAACTGGCGCTGCAGCGACTCTTCCGTAACTGGTCGTTAGCGCGCTTTGCATGGGTCAGACTTAAAGCTTCTGCTATAACTTACGGTAGCTGCGTGCTCCGCGCAGTATGAGCCAACCTTCAGGGTGGCATTAGGGCCTGAAGTGGAAGAAACTCGAGCACGCTCTGTGTATATTCATTCAAGTATATAATCTCCTACTTTATTCACCCCCAATGCGCATACAGCACTTTTTGGAATGACGCCTCGGGCAAGATCGTGTTTGTGGACGTCAGTGTGTAACAACTTGCTGAGGGGGTAGCAAGTGCATGTGAGTAATTCTGCACTTCCTTCATTTTCTCTCTCAAATATTTCCAGCTCGACAAGTTATGGCAAGCAAAGCCAAAAAGTTGCAACAATCCAGATTTGAGATCGATTCTTTTACCGGCCTGATATTCAGATATTATGCAGGCTACAAGCACATATCACTTCCTCGAAATATGTCCTAATCCGTTCCAGGGGTCTAATCAAGCGCATTGGTCCAGCAAATGCATGTTATTTATTTATGAGTTTAGAGACAATAGCTTTACACTGTGCCATTTTTCATGCAAATGCGGCAGTTCGGCAAATAGCATCGGTGTACCAGTTGTACTTTCCAAAAGTAATGAAGCGTTTATATTTGATCTCCTGCAGTTTCATGTGATGAACTTAGTGTAAATAAATTTATCGGGTGCATCAACGTGGTGAGTTAATCAGAATCTAAACGAGACACCTCTAACAAGGGAACGATACTCGGCGTCAGTGGCCCTTACGAGATGTAGGTAAATCATTACACTCGCCTTGGAACGTTGCCGAATCTGGCTTCCGTTTCTGCTAACCGTTTTTCTGAAGGAAGTTATTGTCGCGGACTGGGCCCCCAGCTCCCAACGTCAGTGGTACAACGGCTCTCCTGCATCGGCGAGGGGAGCCAGGGGTTTGCTCCACGAAAGAGTGAAGCGTACCATGTGAGGTGGCTACCTGTGTAAATGCTACTTGTGCCTGCCACATGGGTACTCCTTACACGCTTAGAGGCCCTTGCCACCAGCCTGCTTGGCAGTTACTCGGCACCTGCGATCCAAACTATCCTCCCAACTATCGACAGTTGGGACATGTATATATAACCATGGCACGTAACTAGTATTGTGCCAGCCTTGATAGATGGATTGTACTAGGCGTGATTATAAATACACAACAATAATGATGACATGAGGTATCCTTGGAGCCACAGCCGAGCTGTGGCCCACCGCTCCAAACAAATCACACGAGTAAATACCCACCATTTATCCACAGGTAATCCCTAAACTCAAACACAATGGGGTGGAGCACAACCAGCCAAGATCTTAACATCCCTAGGGGCCAGCAGTATCGAAAACCCCCCGAGGCGGTGTCGCCGGCATGTGCCAGGCGCGAGCGCGCTCGGGGTTACCTCGTAGCGTGGGGTGCCAGTCCTCCGTGGCGTAGTTGGAATTGACGCGTAAGTTGGGGTGGCGCTGGATCGATCGATGACGAGAGACGATTGGAACCCGACCGCTCACTGTGACGGCAGCTGCGAAGACTGAGTACGTGACTTATGCGAAAGCTGCGCAGGTAAGAGAGGTGAGAGGCGGGACAGCGCGAGGACGGCGTTTCAGGACCCCTTCGCACCGCGGCGGCGGCCTCCTTTGAAGGAAGTCGCGAATCCGCGACACTCCGGGCAACAAGAAGAAAAAAGAAGGGGTCCGAGGTAGTTTCCGATTTGCCATGTTACCTACCACCCTACGAGTCAAACATACAAACAAACCTACGAGTTAAAAATCCCTAAGTGGAACGCGGGACCTACACTTGTCGTGGTAACAGCCAGTTGTTCTCGGGGGTAAGCGTGAAGAGTCGTCGGGGGCTCTACTCTGGATACTGGCGGGCTTCGGCAGTTGCGTAGTCGATAGTTGCGTTGAACGGAAGTTGAGGCGATGATTGACGGCGATCTCGACACTTGCGGCATCGACAGCTTGAACGGACCATGGAACTCGGCGTTGACGTGGATGTTCGGCTTGACGTTGACGTTGACAGCGGCTCGACATGGATGACGTTGAAGTGACGATGAAGAACAAAAAGTTTTAATCTTGCCTACGGGCGCATTTTTTCACGCCAGGGGAAATAGATTTTGTGAGGGGGAGATTTTCCTCACCAAGCACAAGAACCCAAGGGCCAAGTCAAAGTCGCAAAGAAGGGGAAATCCCAAAAGCCAAAAAATTAACACGGTCTCCCACCGTGACCCCAAAAGTCGTGAGTTGCGGCTATAGTCACATGTGTCAACGTACACTGGGGATCACTGCTGCCAATCCTGAATCAAGGTTAACAACAATGACAAAAGGCGGGCTCAAGGCTCTTACCCAAAAGGAAACAAAGGAAATAAAAAAGAAATAAAGAAGTAAAAAAGAACCGTAAATTGGGGATGTAAACTTTCAAACCTACCTGCGGGAGCTCGATCTTATGCTCCACACTCCTTCCTCGAACTTGCTAGCTCACTTCGAGAATGAACCGTGGGGATCCATCCTCGGGGCGAGGGGCGACGAAGCAACAAGAAACTGGCTAGCCTGAACATAGCTTCGAACGTCCGTGACCACGAGAAAGAAGAAGGCTGCTGAAAGCAAACAAATATAGTACAAGTGTGATAATGTAATGTGTTAAAGGGTGTTTGTGGGCAGAACGAAGCTGCTGTGAAATGGTTCGTGGGCCTGTGAAGTATCAAGGGGTGGGTTGCTTGGGGTACGCACAATTCTACGCACCCACTTCGGCTCCCTATAGCGTCTTCGATGGCGTCGACGCCTGGACGTTCCCGTTGAAGATGGAATCTGTGGCGATGGTGTTCTACGACGCGTCGGCGAAGGAGAAACATGTGGGGATTCTCTGACTGGTACGACGGGTCGAGACGAGGATTGTGTATCCGATCGTGGCGTGACATCCGGTCCGCTGCGATATCCTCTATGTTCGCGCGGATGATAGTGACGATCACAAGAATAGTCTCGAGATCTTCTACTATCCCGTGCTGGGTCTTCAAGATCCGAGGATTCTTCAGGGTGATGATCTCCTTCCGCAGCTGACTGTGTCTCAGACGACGATTCCGACGAACCAGACGAGCTAGACGACTGGTGTCGTTCTCGGGTACAATCCTCCTCTTCCGTAAGTCTACAGAGCAGTCGATGATGTTGTCCTGCACATTCCTTGCAAGATGGATAGTCGCAATCGCCTTGGGAATGTCTTTCTCGAAGACACTTCAAGCATAGTCGCAGAAGATGCGCAATCTTACGACGCGCACTAAATGGCATATGCTCGTTGCATCTACGAGAAGAGTGCGAAAGGGAGTCGCAAAAGCAACATGCGGCTGGGTTGTAAGGTACCCTGGGAGAATGGGAATGTGATGGTTGTTCTGGGAGAGTATCTCTGCTCACAGCATAATCACTGGCACAAGAGCAGGTTTGCTCAAACCTTTCCCTCGACGAGATGATATTGTCGAGGTGAGACATAACCTGTCGAAGGTCAAAATCGGCCCGTTTCTCGAACTCGACGTTGTTAAGTCGCTCCTGGATAGACAGGGGAAACTTGGTCCGTACGAGATCGATGATATAAAGAGCACGATTTAGATCTTCGAAGCGCTTGAGGGCATGAAGGATACCTGATACCCGGAACCAAGTGTAACGCATGTCCGAAGCTGATTCGGTTGCGGGCTGAAGATCTCTGAGCTGCTGATGGAGTAGCGCTCTGGTCTTTCTCGGGCAGTCGTATCGCTTCTTCAATGCCTGCACCAACTGATAGTAGTTGTTCCGTCCTGGCTCAAGATCCTGCAGTACCACACGAGCATCTCCCTTCAGCAAATTCTGCAAGTAGAGGTACTTCATATTGAGGTCGATGGTCGCATCGTTGTGCACAGCTAACTCGAAGGCACACCAGAACTGCTGGAACTTGGTAACATCTCCGTCGAAATGTGGCAACGTTAGCTTCTCCAGATGGATGGCTAAGTGCTGTGGCGAAGGTGAGACCAATAGGGCAGTAGGCTGCTGTTGATTAGCCACTGTGTGTGCGGTAGCAAGTTGAAGTTGCTCAACTGGTGCACTGTATTCGACTGTGGATCCACATTCTGACGTGTGGAGGCGTCCATGGGCGTGCGGTTTTGTTCCCGCTGGGGAGTCGTCACAACTGAAGA